CTGGTGCAACCATTGTGGAGGTCAGTCTGGATGTTCCTCAAAAAGCTGGGATTGGAATTCCCACATGACCCAGCTATTCCACTTCTGGGCATATTCCCAGAAGAACTGAAAACATCATACCACAGTGATATATGTGCACCCATGTTTATAGCAGCACAATTTGTAATAGCCAGATCTTGGAAACTACCTAAGTGTCCATCAACTGAGGAATAGATTAAAAAGATGTGGTATTTTTATGCAATGGAGTACTACTCAGCTATAAAAAATGATCACATTGAGATATTTAAAATAAATGGATGCAACTTGAGTCCATACTCATTAGTGAAATAAATCAAACTCCCATGTGTAAATACTGTATAGTCTCTCTAGTGTAAGAAACGGTAAGAGTACATAAGATACAAAAACCTCAATAAATACAGGAAGAGGATAAGAATCTGCTTGAGGGGAAAAATAATGTCATGGAAAAGGAGGAAAAAGAAAAGGAAGGGAAAAGAAAAAATATCTACTATTCTATAAACACACTTAGGATAGCTCAGATGATTGTGCTACAAATTCTGTAAATTCTTGGAACAAAACAGTCAACATCCATAAGATTGGAACAATTGTCCATGTTAGTGTGTGTGCTCTGAGGAAATCTTGAAGATCACTATGTAAAATAACCCCCCCAAGTTATGCTCCTACTGCCTTGTTTTCTTAAGGCCTATATTGTCAGTGTTTTGGACTCTTTACTATTTGTTTTTTTTGTTTCGTGTTCTTCTAGTAATTTGTTTTGTCTTGTTTTGTTTTTCTCCCTAATACAGAAAGGACAGGTATACATGTAGACACTCATACACGTGTAGAACTTCTCCTAAACAGTTTACGATAATCGATTATAGTATGCATGATAAAATGAGCAGCTACTTTGAAGAAAAAGAGGCATTATGGTTTTTATTGCTGATTCCGTATTGTCATACTGTAAAATCTATTAATGCTATTATTCTTTGTTCAGAGTGGTTTTAGTCTGTTTTGTATTGTTTAATTTCAACATACATGAAAGTATAGACAACTATTTTGAAGAGAACGAGAGACTTATGGCAGCCATTGTTCAGTTCCCTATAGTCTGGTTTTGAAGGCCTGTAATGCCTTCATCACTCTGTTTTGATCAATTCTATACTATTTTGTTTTGTATGATTCCATTGTATGTGAAGATATAGACAACCATTTAGAAGAAAACAAGACATATTATGGTAGCCACTGTAGATCTCCTATTGTCTGGCTTTGAAATCTGTGTCATTTACATTGTTTTCTTCTGATCAGCTTTTTTATGTTTTGTTTAGTTTTACCCCTTTAAAATAAAATTTAAATGTTTTAAAATTTTTAAAAATTAAAAAAGACAAAGATACTGTCAATGCTAGGGTATTACTAAAAACTTTTTAAAAGAGTTTTCTAAGTCATGAGTCCATAGAAGACCTAAAATGGAACCACAGCAATGTTCAGTTTAGTCACAGGAAGACTAGACAGGCAAACTAAAGCCTTGCCTTTCCTGTTTTGTAGGTGCAGCCTGGTCCTCTGAGGCTCTGCACCTCCCCAAGAAGCTGGACAGTGAAGACCCCCAGGAAGTTTCCATCCGAGTCTTCAGAAGAAACATCTCCACGTGCGGCACAGGTTACCTGGAGTTTTCATCTTTGTTAGTGTCACCCCTCCAGGAGGGCCCCTGAAATACCCCTCTCCTGCAGACCCTGAGTAGGAGACACACCTCAGGGGAGGCAGAGCTTATCTTGCACTGGCCAGTGGGCTAACATGGGTCCTCCACAGTGCTTTGTCTCTAATATTCCCAATAAATCCTCCCCAAAATGTCACCCCTGGTCCAGGGCGCCAGCACGAGCCCACGTCAGGCAGATTTGCGTTTATGCTGCTGTGTCACCTCCGCAAGGACCACACGATGACTGGGAGGGCCATGTCTCCTGCAGAGTGCAGCCTGGCAGACAGGTATTCGGTTCTGAATACCAGAAAGCAGAACTGGAACCAGGAGCTACACCAACACCCGCACCAGCACCAGAACCAGCACCAGAACTAGGGCTGCTCAGGCTCTAGGAGTCCAAGGTCTTCAAGGGAAAAAACTAACTTCAAATGGTGCAGTCATCTTTGGTCACAATACTTGGACTGGTTTGAGTTTAGAACTCATGAGGTCATTGCCCCTCTGCCATTCTCCTCTGAATGGCCCTAACAGTTAAATATCTTAGTGGATAGTGACCATGAACCTCAGCCTCTTTATTCACCAGATCCAGCACTGGCACTTCCCCAGATTCAAAATGGTAACTAAAGGTAAATATTTAAAATTAAAGCTGGGCTTGGTGACGCACTCCTGTAAACCCCAGCACTTGGGAGGCTGAGGCAGGCAGATTGTGGCAAGTTCAAGACCAGCCTGGGCTTCAAAGTGAGCCTAAGGCCAGCCTGAACTGCACAGTGAGACCCTGGCTCAAAAAGACAAAATAAATAAAAATAGAAATAAAATTGATTAAGGAGCTCGTGGGGGTGGTGCTTGCCTATAATCCCAGCACTTGGGAGGCTAAGGTAGGAGGATCACTGAGTTTGAAGCCAGCCTAGGCTACAAAATGAGTTCATGGGTAGCCTGAGCTGCATAGTGAAACCCTGTATCAAAAAGACAAAAAATAAAATACAATTGATTGAAGACCAAAATGTGCCATAGGTATTGTAAAATTGGAAGAAACTTTTCAAATGGGGAAGGAAACAAAAGAGGAAGGGGAAAGGAAAGAAGGAAAAAGTATAAAAAGAAAAAGAAAAGTGAAGCAGAAACAAAACTTTTATAAATGGGAAAGATTCAAAGGAGAGTAGGGGAACGGGAAAAAAGTTATATCGTGAACAGGTACAAATTCTCTATGATGAACGTGATCATTATGTATATCTAAATGCACCAATAAAATCTGATTTTAAAAAACTAATAAATTTGATTCGGGACATCAAGGCAATACCAACTGTGCAACTAAAGACACTTATGAAAGAGGATTTCCAGAACTACTGTAGAAAGTGGCAATAATGGGCCGGGCGTGATGGCTCACGCCTGTAATCCCAGCTGAGGTGGGAGGCTGAGGTGGGAGGATCGTTGCAAGTTCGAGACCAGCCTGGGCTACAAAGTGAGCTCAAGGCAAGCCTGAACTGCATAGAGAGACCCTGTCTCAAAAAAGACACACACACAAAAAAAGAAAGTGGCAATAATGGGATCAGAGGATTCTGAGGGGAATTCATGGCAATATGTCTTTTACCGGGATACATTTCTTTTAAGTACTCACTGTATTTTTTTAATCACATGCTATAGAAGAGGGCCAAAGAAGAAGAGAGATGAATATGAATTCTAAAATGGAATCTGAAAGCTAAAAGCCTGCAAGTAACATCAATCTTTACTATTCCAGACAAGTAACTGAGTAGGAAGCAAAGGAAAAACCAAGGTTGGTGGATTGGGTGAGATCTGGGGTGTCCCCAAGCCCCTGTGTTTGAAGGTGACTGATCATGGGGTCATGAGACTCATCACTAGACCATTTTACAGCTAATTTGCCATGGGTTGGAGGCAAGTCACTGGGCCGTGATCTAGGAAGATGCACCTCCCTCTCCCATTCCTCCCTGCCTCTCTGCTTCCTGGCTGCCATGATGTGGGCAGCTTGCACACAGGCCTTTCTACCAGCCTTCCGCTATGGAGCCAGCTGACCAGGGGCTGAATTCTCTGAAACCATGGGTAAACCTCTCCTTCTTTCCTTTGCAGGTACTGGGTAATGTGTCTTACAAACTGGAAAGAGACTAACAGATGGCATCAGCAGGAGGTACAGGAGGAGGATGAGAACCCGGGGCCTCTGAGACAGGTGCTGAAGCAACTGCTCCACACTAGGCCTGTGGCAAGTCCAGGTGAACACACTAGGCCTGTGGCAAGTCCAGCACCACCCTGCTGATCACATGCTTCATTTTTCAGGTTTCTTCACCCCACAGAACACCAGGGTTGTCCCTGCCTTTTGGAATCCAGCAGGACAGGATGAAACTCCGACTTTCCTGGTGGACAGAAGCAAACCAGCTGCCACCACCACATGCTGGTCTTCAGCCAGGACCTCAGCAGATGACTGTGTGTGCTGTACATGTATCTGCATGCAACACACAGAGACAGGGACCACGCCTTGGGGGGGTGAGACTAGCGAGAGAGGTCACTGTCTGTGCCATTCTGGTTCAGTAGTTTTCATAGAAACACCTGGGTTTTGATAGCTTTAAACCAACATAAAGAAAACAGAAGCAGACTGTCGGCTGCTGGGGTGGTAAGATACACTGTAGGAGCCATAGCATGTGGTCCCGGGGTGAGAGCTGCTTCCCCGAGTCAGCCTCAGTGTCAGATGAGGCCTGGCTGGAGCTTCCCAAAGTGCAGAGATGCTCCAACTGCATCTAGACAAAAGAAGCCCTTCTATGACTACCCAGACATAAGCATAGCCCCGTGCTCCTTGAGGATCTTCCGGCAGGGAGACGGCGTAGGAACTGCCGTCAAAGCTCCTGCTGAGCTTTGTGTGTCTGTGTCCCCAAAAGTCACTAGTTGGAATGAGAACCCTGAGGCAGGAGTGTTGTCAGACGGGCCTTTTGGAAGGCAGAGCCCTTGTGGATGTTACCATGCCCTGTGGAAGAGGCGGACAGAGTGCCTTGGCCCACTGTGTTCCACCTCCCACTCATGGGGACCCAGTAGCGCACTGCTGTCCCCGGTCAGACGGCAGCCTCACAGAACCCCAGTCTTGGGCTTCAGTCTCCATGTCAGCAACCATCTCTGGCCTTTATAATTCACCTGCCTAAGGCATTTCTACAGCAGCACACGTGGCCCAAGGCACTGTCTAGCCCTACACCTGAGGTGGGTGATTCAAGAGTACTTCCTTGTATTACTCATAAACGTAACGATAAGTGCATTAAACTCAGCCCTGTGGGTGACACTCAGATATTCAGTGCTCAAGGAAAGTCAAGTAAGCACGACCACAAAGTCATTTCAGTGGAGTAATTCCCTTTAATTATTACTGTATGCATGAATAAGAAAACATCCCATTAAAATACATTTTCAAGGTGGACTGTTTAAAATCTAATAATAAATGTGACAATATTTTAAAGCCCTTCCAAAAATAACCAGAAACACTCTCAGAAAAGAGCCTACTGGACATGACTCAGTATTTCCCCCAAAGTTTAATATGTATAAAAATGTTATTTCCATTCAAAAATGATGCGTGGGAACACTGAAGTAATCTTCTGTAAAGTGCACACAGGTACAAGAGTGACTCTGGGTGCTATACCAGTGAAGTCCTCCCAACACGCCCACAGCTGCCTCAGCCACGCTCTACCAGGGCCTCCTGCAGGAACAGGCACAGCCACTGGCCCTCCTCCGCCTGCCTGGATGCCCACTGCCTTTTCAGGTACTGCACGTCCACTGTGCCTGAGGCCCTGGCCAGCACCAGAGCCAGGAAGCTGCCGCTGGGCCTCTCCGGCTCCCCCAGGACAGTCATGGCCACCAGCCTGTAGGCAAGAAGGGACATGCATGAGACTTCCCTAGGTCTCTGTCTTCCAAGTTGTCTCCTCCAAGGGAGGAAAAATCCAGAAGAGGATTTCTAAAAGCATTGATGTCGACATGAAAAGTCAGACTAGAGGGGATTTAGTTTAGAGGCATAAGTGCCTGCCTTGCAAGCATGCAGTTGTGAGTTCAATCCCCAGTACCAAAAAACACCAAAACAACACCCCCCAAAACAGAAAAGTCACACCAGAAACAAATATATGGAAATTGATAGGAAGTGCTTCACAACCTATTTCTACATCTTAGAGGTATGCAGACCAACTGCTTGTGAAGAAGCTGAGAAGAACATACTGTCACACAGTGGTCAGTGCTGCATCTACAGACTGCTCTCCCTCCCATCTACTCAGGAGTAAATGGCCCTGCCATGGCCCCCAACCCTCTCCTACACCCCACTCCAGGCCAAGCCACACAGACTACACTCCCCCATCCAACCACCCTCTTCCACCCAGCCTTCATCTCACCTCACCACACTCCAGCCTGTCCCCAGCCAGAGGCTTCCAGACCACCTGACTGGCCTCCTGGGTCTCCTTGGTCCCACCTGCCCACTCCCAGACTGGCCCAGCCCAGCTTGTTTGTTACCTGTCCTGTGAGACTCAGCTGGGAACTCAGGCCCCAAAACCCCTGCCCAGGACTCCAATTCCTCAGGTAGATCCTGGCATCCAGGGAACTTCTTGGGGAGCCAGCAAATGTCCATAGATGCAGCCTGCACCTGAGTGGCACTGGCACCATGGGACCATGTGGGTCCCCACACAGTGATGCAGGCAGAGCTACAGGGATCTGCTGGTGACACAGCCTGAGACAGGGCCACTCAGGGTACCAGCAGTCAGAAAGAACCACAGGGCTTCAGGGAAGGGGAGCCTCTAAAGGAGCAGGTCATGAAACACAGCCTCCCTGACCACTCAGCACTGAGCACCTCTGAGGCGGCATGTCCAACTGCTGCCGCCTTGCAGGCCACCCATGGTGCAAACCCTGAAGGTTTCCCTGGCATCGGGACTGTTGGGTATGGACAAGATGCAGTTCACGGATGTGGCATCATTTCAAACAAATGTGCACAGCCTGGGTAGAACCGTCTCTAGACAAGCTGGGCATGACAGTTCGTGCCTGTAGTTCCAGCACTCAGGAGGCTGAGGCAGGAGGATTACCATGAGTTCGAGGCTAGTCTGCACTGCATAGTGGGACCCTGTCTCAAGAACAAAAAAGAACTGTTCCTGGACAAAGGGCATGGTGGACAGAATCAGGCAAGGGAAGCAGAAAACCTATGACCACCACACAGGTACTACCAGCTCCTGGGCATCCTCCAGGCAGGGCTGCTGGCCTATGTTCAGACCCCAGGAGACAGGTCCTGGGCACCACAGCATGTGTGAGGCTGGTTAGGTGAGCTGTCAGCCCTTGCTTGAATCTTCCCTGTACTCCTGCCTTCCTATTCATTTCTTTCTGTTCTTTACAGCTATGGAAAAATAACTGAGCATAAACATCATTTGTTTAACTCATGCACTTACACGGGAGGAGTTCTGGGGCAGCAGTGGTTAGATAGGCCCACAGCTGCCCTGTGATATTCTTACCATGCATGTGCTCTAACTCACACTCACCCTAAGCTCTCGCATCCTGATCACCACACACATGCCCATCATGGACCAGCTTCAGGCACACAGTCAGTGCTCAATAAATACTATACTGTTTAACAAATGACATACTTATAGACTTTCTAGATCAACAATCTGTGGGTATATTATGTGTTCATATGTGACCCATACTCTGGATTCTTTATGATTCTTGATTTCTTTTTTAGACAGGGTCTTGCTAAGTTGCTGAGGCTTCCTGAAACTTGCCATCCTTCTGACTCAATCTCTTGAGTAGCTGAATTATAGGCATGTGTCACCGTATCCAGCTCTTGATTAATTTTTTAATAATTAGGATAATGTCAGTATACCTAGTACTCAAACGAAATAAATTCAAATCCTAACTTTTTGCCAGCTATTATCAGTATACCCCTGATATTCTTTCAAGCTGTCACCTGACTTTGGCCACTTTTACCTTCCTCTTTACAAAAGGATAATGAGATTCCTTCCCCAGCTACACAAACTGGAGAATTTAACAAAATGTAGAATTTCAAGAAAAAGCAAGGTGATTGGACCATTTGCTTTCCAGACCTGTCCTTGCTTCACTCACCTGTCTGGAGAGATGGGCTGTGTGGCCACAGGGCCCAGGTCACTCTGCAGGAGGTCCCAGACATAAATGGTAGATGCAGCATCCTGGACCAGGAACACGGCTGGCCGTGTGGGCGACCACTGCAGGCCAGTGATGGCATGCCCCCCGGTGCTGCTGTTCCACTGTGCCAGTGGCCACTCGGAGCTCATCTGGTGCAGCCGGAGGCTTCCATCTGAGCAGCCGGCCTGTGTGACAGGGACAACTGTGAACTGCTCTCTCCGGACCTAAGCATAGCGGCCAGGTGTGTTTCCTGAAAATCTGCTTCTTCAATTTGCACAACACACAGACTGTTTATTTTTTTCTGATACAAAATTGTAAACTAAAACCAACCCCATGAGTTGGAAAGGTGAGCACCTGTCCAGCTCTGCCAAGGAGGCGCTCCCCACCCTGAGAATCAACACAGTGGTGAAACCATGAACCGTGAGTGTCTTAACAGTATCAAGCCTCACCAATGCAAGCACAGGTCATGAAGCATGGCTCCATGGGTATAAACAAGTCACCTTTTAAAAAATTGCATTGATAATGTGGCTATATATTCCTGTTGGACTGAAATTTTCAGAAAAAAAACTTAGTGGATTTAACAAAAGACCAATTGTTTAGCTTATAAAGAGAAAAATAATCTTTCATATACTCAAAAGAAAAAAGAGAGAAAATCAATGAGAATGGGAGTAAAAATGAAATATAAAAATAAACTTTTATTCGTTTCTTGAGACAAGGTCTGGCTATGTGGTTCAGGACAGCCTTGAACTCACTAAGTAGTCCAGGCTGGCCTTGAATTTCAGACAGTGTTCCTGCTGAGCCTCCTGAGTGCTGAGACTATGCTGGGTGTGCAGCACCATACCCCACTAGAAACAAACGTCACAGCCTTGCATGCCCTTAAACGGTTGATGGCCATCACATGGAAGGGGAAAGCTGCCACACTGATTAGGGACTGCAGGGCTGGCTGACATTTAATCTTTGTATGTTAAATGATAAATAATCAGCAGAGTATTTCTTAAGAGAATCAAATTCCTGCACTAACTGGTTTTACTTTGTTATTTTAACCTCACATTTTTTCTTTTTAGACCCCTGAAACCTAATCTATGATTAAATAATCAACTTCCAAGACTTTCCGATGGACCAGCATGTCCTGCCCACTGGCAATAATGCCACAGAAAAGAACCGGTGCTGTAGGAAACACTTTCTTACCAGGAATATTGGTTCTCCAAAAGGTGAGAAGTCGATCACATTAACCTTCACTGCTCTTAACCCACACTCTTGAGGTTTGAATGATTTGGGAGATACTTTCAAATCCTGCCTTGTGCCATGAGTTATAAGACCCTAGTAAAAACAGAAAGACCAACGAAGAGCAAAGAGAAGTATCAGGTATGAGTTGGGCAAAGATTTTTTTTTTTGGTACTGGACTTCACACTCACCAGGCAAGCACTTGAGCTGCTGAGCTAAATCCCTGGCCCAAAGATGTTACTCTTGAAACAATGTAAATAACACTATAACCCAAGCAACAGTAAATTAACCTTAGATAAACATGTGTGTCAGATTACTCTGGGAAAGAACAGGATGAGTAATATAATGAAATGTAAAACTTGACTCACCACATCTGTACCAACAACGAAGTGAGTAGGGTCCGAAGGCAAAAATTTGATGTTTAGGGTTTGTGTGGTGCCCCAGAACTCACTATCCTTACGACAAGAACTGAAAAAGACAGCAGAGTGAACACATGTTAACTGTGAAAGCTCGAGGTAAAGACCCTGAACACTCACTTGGCCCCAACCTATAACAGACTGGGCCACATAGACACCCTAAGGTTTAACTCTGTTTGCCACTTCCTTTTTGCTCTGCTACTGTGGGCTTGATAACTGTTGCAGATAATTCTAGTCACTAATTCTTTCCTCAGCTGTGTCTAATCTGCTATTTGACTTTCATAAATGATAGCTTCATTTCTGAAGGGATTTTAGATTGCACTCCAAGTTATTTGTGTGTCAGGTGTTTCTTTATGCACGAACACATCTCTGCAGACTGCTTGTGGGAATCCTGTGAGCCCCAGCTTGTGAAGTCTTCCTCCCTACAGGCAGTATCCCTGTGCCCACTGCTGTCTGGGACTCTGCGTCTCTCTGCTGCCATGTGCAGGTCCACAGGCAGTGGGGAGGTCACAGTCCCTAGCTCCCACCTCCCTCCTTTGCAGTGAGCTCTCTGTTGCTCTCACTCTGAGGAACACCCAGTTCCGTCTCCTGGACCCCAGCAAGGCCAGCACTTCCTGCTCCTGTCTGGACCTGCAGCCACAGGCACAAGGAGAAGGCCTGCGCTGGCCTAGGCCCCCACCCACCTCCAGCCTGTCACACCTCAGCTCTGGAGCTTATGTCCCTGAGTCCCCTCCTTGTTCCTGGCATTTAGCAGTTTTCCCTTCTTTGTAGCAATCACATTCGGCTTGTGTGTAGTTTTTCTGTCATGCAGTATACATCCTTGCCCAGAGAGGCACCCCGGTGCCTCCCAATCCCTGATGCCCAGTCAGAGTCAGGGTCTGGCCACTCTCAGCTTCTCTGCTGGCTTCTCTGCTCTGGCCAACTCTGGGACCACAGTATCCCATCAGCAGATGAGGGAGTCTGTACCTTTCTGAGGTCCTGCTGTGGTAACAAATACCTCCAGGACACCTTGGCTCCAAAGCTGAGCCCATCCTAAGCTAACCAGCCCGTCCCTTCTCCCTCTGCAGAAAGGAGACACCACTGAGAGCCTGGGAAAGATGCAGCATCAGATACTTGAGATGCATTCCTTCTTTGAGTACACATTTACACCCTGCAGAAATTTATAAAGTAAATATAATGCATGGCCTGAGTGAGAAGGGTCACAGTGCAGATAAAAATAGTCCTAAAGAAGCTCAGCCAGGGAACAGCATGGCCCATGGGTCTGTGATTGTGGAAATCTGATGCCCTGGGCTCAGATACATTAGATGACTTTTAAAAACAAATGATTTGCTTTCTGAATTATATATAAATCAAGTAAAGTTGGCTTAAAATCTCTAAACAGATGCAAATTCATTAACACAAAATAGAGGTATTCTGTGTGAGGAGGAGAAAGAACTGGGCTGAGAGACTGAGTTTTTGAAGGGTAATTCTTACATTAATAGCCCTGGGTAAAGGAGAAAGAACTGTATCTTTGGGAACAAGTCTATATGGAACATAAAAATAGTACAAATAATATTTACCCATTTACTAAGAATTTCTATGTCATGTTAAGTTGTATGCGTCAACTTCTAAATAAAACTTTCTATCAATATTTCTGGTTCCTGAAACTTCGTCTAATTTTAATTTCAGGATTGCATTAGAACAAGGTGGAAAACAGAGAGTATCAATTGAAAAGATAGGAAGCATTCTTTTTTATCAAAAATTGGTGTTTGCACATGAGAAGAGGTATCTATTAAACTGACTCATTACTAATAAATAAATTAAATAGCAAAATGGAAAATAAAGGAATATGTCTTGGTCTCACACTGACACTATTCACCACACTTGCCATCACTCAGGTCCTGCTGTTTCTGCAGGAAACAGGCTTTGAGGGTGGGAAGGGCTCTCACCTGCCACCCAACTGGATCACAGCACTATGCACCAACTTAATCCTCCCTCCAGGGATGAGGCCTGGAAACAGACATGCAGAACAAAAGTTCCTCTTGGTGAGTAAAACCAGCACTGTTCATATTATGGCTTGTATCTAATGTCCCCCCAAAGCCTCATGGAGTCATAGGTGAGGCTTTTATAGAGCTGGCTGGGTCTAAGATCAAGAATGGCCTAAATCAGTTCACTGATTGACTTGGTACTGCCCTACTAATCCTGGTAGCCCAAACAGATTATAAAAGGGGCAGAAAAAAAACTGCTAAGGTTCTTTGCTTGCTTTGCTACATTCTGCCTACCATGAACCATTTTGCCTCTGCGACTGCCTCTCTGCCATGCTACCCTGCCTTAGAGCCAGCTGACTATGGGCTGAAACCTCTACAAACCATGAGCTAAATAAACCTTTCCTCCTTTAACTTTGGGTGTTGGGTGTTTTGTCTCAGCAATAAGAAAAGTAACTAAGAAATTCACTGCTTATTCACTCCTATGTTGAGAAATGATACCAAAGTACACTGACGAGCAGCTTTCCTTCTGAGAGGCACCCGTGCGTGTCCTGAGGTGAAAGGGGTAGGGTCCAGACCCACTGGTCTCAGTCCAGACGGCAGTACACACACCTATCACATCCCAAGTTCACAGCAGTGATGATCCACAGGAGCACACAGAGCTCCCCACCTTACAGATGACCTTGAGACCCCAGGCTTTGCCAGCAAGCACAGGCATCTCCCAGCTCCGTCAGCCTCATCAACTGTCCTGCTGGGTCCCTAGCTTCCTCCCCACACACATGACACAGAGCTGATTTCTCAGTCCTGATTGCTCTGCTGTTTCTTCCTCATTTTCCCTGGCTTTGATGGCTGGACCATACACTGACTTTGCCTCCTAGTATGTCCCAGTGTGGTCCTCCCTTTAATTACTGCAAAGGCAAGAACAGATTTCAATACCTTGAAATTAAAACTCTGGCTGAAGAGCTGCCTACCTCTGTACATAAAGACTAAACTGTGTGTACTGAAAAGGACAGTCACAGCTGCCACACAATAAAGTTCAAGCTGCTGTCCACAGAGGCGAGGCAGCCTGTAACCCCTCCTCTTCGACCTGGCCTAGGCAGACCCTGTGCTCTAGAAATCATGTTACAACCACAATCTGTGTTTTTCTGCGATGGTCTGCCTGACACCGTGCTGCACTCACAGTGAAGGAAAGGCGAGGCTCAGCCTGCACCTCAGGCCTGTGTGATGGAGCCTGGAGGCACCTGGTGGCTGCAGTGTCTGGGGACACTGTCCCTTCCCCCTTGAGAGTAATGTGGATAAACAGTGCTTTCAAACAGTAGTTTCTAACAGAGAAACACACTGCTGTGCATCTTCGGGACTATAAAACACTGTGATGCAAATACATTTTATACAGAATAAACTAACTCTTTCAAATCCATTGTAGTCAAGGATAAAAAGAAAAAAAAAAGGAAAAAATAAACAAACTTCTACACCCATTTGTGCTTCATCTCAGTCCATCTGACCCACCCAGACAAAGCCCAGGCACACAGTGCTCACGCTCGGGATACAGGCATGCCTGGGTGAATGCTGGCCCAACACCAGGAAGGATCCTGCAGGGTAAGCAGGACGCAGAGACCCTGACACTGAGTGCTCTGGAAAGGGTATGTGGGCACAGACAGCCAGAGCTCATCCAGAACAGCATATGAAGGCAGTGAGGGATGGCACAGGCTCAAGAGCTGAGGTGACTGTGTGTTCATTTCTCAAAGAAGGAATTGTTATCTTTCATCTCTATTCATTTTAGTAAATATTAAAATTAATTTTTTAATTTAATAGTTACCTAAATCACTTATTGAACCTGCAATATCTGCCTTTGGCAATTCAACCACCACCTAAAAATGGAATATGAAATAAATGACATCACTTATAATTATGAAATCATTTAAGCAAAGAATAGCTTAGGTTAAGACAAGAGAAAGTATTAAGTCATAAAATTCAGTTGCTCCAGAAAAAACACCAGCCATTAACTTTCGGGCTAATGTGTTAAATCTTACTAATTCTTTCTTTCAGTGTCTCTTCACTCCTCACTCCTGGCCTCACTCATGGCCTCATCAACAGCCAGATCTTCTGCCCCACGGGAAGAGTCCTCTTCTCAGCCCCCGCCCTGGTACTGGTACCATGTTTCGATTTTAAGGCAGGCCCAGAGCCTGCAGCAGGACCCTGTACTTGCTGCTACGGGTGAAGCTCTGTATCATGTCTCCCCAGAACCAGCTACCGAGCCTGCTCTGATTTCCCATGTTAGTCCTGCACCACTATCAGATTCCTTCCCTGAGCCCCACCCAAGATGTAGGTGCTTTCCTACCCAGCCTGGACACCTGACTCACCCACACATTAAGAACCCCGCTCTCATCCAAGGAAGCGATGTGGAATGATAATCCTGATGCTCCTAATGAAAACAGAAATGAAAGAAGAGAAGTGGCATTAAACAAGGAAATCACATCTCATGACTCCAGAGCAAGGTTCAAGGAAGGAGGACACTGTACCTTCCTGAGCAGAAAAGGGCGAAAGCACAAAGTTCTGCTTCCTGCTTGGAGACATGGAGATGGGTTCTACTGCCTGAAGAGGACTCTGGTGGCTCACCGAGATCAGGATTCCATCTAGAGATTAAAACCCATGCACCCAAATGTGAGTAACACAGTCCAGAAACGCAACTCATACTCTGCAGACAAACACAGAGGGCCGCAGGTCTGAAAGACCCAAGCGTCTCCTCACATCTCCCTGAAGCACACATACCTGACCCAGGAGCTTGCTTTCAGCACTACTGGGAATGGGAACTACATACCTCAAATACTTGGGAAAGGAGAAACAGGCACGAAAGCTTGTGTTTATGTCCTACAGCTGCTGCCATCAACACTGACCATGGTTCAAAGGCAGGGAAGAAAGGCCAAAACAGGCCAACCAAGAGAGTATGTTTGAGACTGAGGAAGCTCCTGCAAAACCACCTCAGAAAGGGAGACCTCACTCTGAGGCCAGAGTCCCAAGTCCTCTACTGGGGGAAGGTTTGGAGAGTGAAGGAATGCCAGGGCATGTCTCTGGATGGCATTAGCCTAGAAGAGGAGTGAAACCAGGTGTCGTCAAAACCACAGCTAACAGAGCTGAGTGTGGCAGCTGGTACACATGTCTGTACGAGAGGCTGAGGCAGAAGACTCTCAAATCTGACTCCTACCTCAGCAACTCACTGACGCAGAGAAACCCTATTTCAAAATAAGAAATACAGAATCGTTAGCGATGTAGCTCAGTGGGAAAGGCCCAAGTTGGACCCTCAGGACCACAAAAAACAAAAAATCAAGGCTAAAGGACATACCACCTCAGCAGCCACTACCACGCAAGCAACGTTCTCCATTACAGAAGGCAACTACCAGTTAACACAGCCGAGCTCTCTGACCTAGAACACCCATCACAGAGCATCAAGGAATGGGAGTCAGGCTCCATACAGGCTACTGAGATACAAATCAAAGGACTTAGCTGAGGAAACTTCTCACTGTTCCACAAATACAAGCATGAAACAGAAGCCCAAAGCTCAATATGCTGAGTCCAACCAAATCTCTTCAAAAATCAAACCAAATAAACATATCTGATACAAAATCAATAGATCAAAAAAAAAGAAAAGAAAAAAGGCAAAAAGTAAGATGACAGCTAGGGTGTGGTGAGTGGTTAGTGGTGAGTGAGTATCTAACATGTACGAGGCTCCAGGTTCAACCCCAGCAGAAACAATAAAACAAAACACCTTAGGAGGAAAGCAATTCAATAAAAGATGGGCAAAACACTGAAACAGATGTACCCACAAAGATACAGGGGTACAACATCACTAGGTTTAGGGAATAAAAGTCAAATCCACAATAAGAAGTCATCACACAATTACTACAAAAGCTGAAAAGTTTTCTTCCCTGTAGAGAAGCCACAACTGACTCTATTTTGTCCAGGATGCATCAACAATGTTATAGGAAAAAATGCAGGCCTTGAAACACTGCCTCTACCCCAAGGTAAAAACTCGAGGACCTGTAAGGACAAGAAGCAAACAAGTTATATAATCTAAGCATGTGTAATTTGAGTTCTTTGTTCTTTATCTCAATAAAAGCTACTTGCTTAGGCTGGCCGGGCGGCAGCTTTAGTGTGTTCGACCCTTTATTTTCCCTTTGCTTGCAGAACTCCAACACTTCCCCAAAAAGTGATACTACCAAGTTCTGTGAGGATGTAGAGAAATGGAAACTCATGTTTTGCAGAGAATGCAAAGTGGGACAGGCATACAGACACAGGCACTCAGGTACAAACTATCCATAATCATCAACAACAGAGATGAACCAACCACATAGCCACTGGGGACCTAAGCGACACGCCTGTGACATCTGTACCACAGAACACCACTCAGCAGAGGAGACAGAGTCTTCAGCAATGTCCAGTGGTACCGAGGAACCCCACATGTGCTGAGTTACTTACAACTCCATTCTTATGACATCTGGAAAAAGAATGACTGTAGGGTAGAAAACAGGTCAATGGTTGGTGGGAAAGAAGTGATACAAACACCGCATACTGGCACAGTGTGGTGTGGGTGTGCCCATAGAGCGAGCAGACACATGCAGACAAAAAAAGAACCTAAGAGAGACTTCTACCTGGGCCTTCAATTGACAAGACACCAGCGCCCTGGGAAGGTGCATGGTGTCGGGTAATTCCAGGTGAGTACAGCCAGCCTGGCTTCAAACAAACATCCCACAATTCTGAGTGCTGGGACCCAGGGCTTTTAGGAGAGTTAAGTGCGCAGACATATACAAAGCCCCCGACAAGGTCCTAGACACAGGAAGTATTCATTACTTGATGTGGTGTCTCACCGTGGAATTTGCTCACCTGAGTACAATTAAGGGTCCCAAGAAGTCAGGTTGTTCTCTTTTCATCCCCAACAGAGTGACTGATTTTACTACTTCAAGCATTAGTAACTATACCACAGAACCATCCACATACTAATATACCTTAAGCTAATTTAAATCTCACAATTCTTTGGTTGAAATGTTTTGGAATCCACAAATTTAATACAAAATTTCCATTGTTGCTGGCTACTGGGTAAGGGTGACTCAGTGAACTTTGCTTTTGTTCTATTTATGAAACGCCTCTTTTGTCCATGGCGTGGATCCTATGCTCTGGATAATCTTAATGAACAAATACAAATAAATTTGAGATTTCAACCTCAAATCTGTCATACTTTTCTAGGGACGCATGACTGGCAGACCAGTGACACTGACCAGTGGAAAACGTGGGTATCCTGAAAGTCCAAGGGCCACCACTCAACTTCACATACTGATGTATCCTGGAGTCTTCTCTCAAATCCCACACAACAACAGAGCCGTGCGCAGTGCCAGCAAACAGCAGAAATGCTTTAAAAGGGCTAAAGCTGCAACACGTGACCTGAAAAGAGAAACAGGGAGCAGACGACAGGGGTGTGTGAGGCTGTGTTCACCGAGGCTAAGTTCACCCCACAGCACGCAGCACTTCTCACTTTACCCCATGGACGCCCTATAAACCTTCACTCCAGGAAGCTGTGGGTAAGGGGTAGAAAATCCATAAAACAAACCCATTAACTTGACTGAGTGTTAGTTTCCACAGATGGAAAGGAGAGATTACAAATCTACCCTGCAGGATCGCTGCCATCACAAACCACACATCCCAGTACACAAATCGCTGCATTATCCTTCCTGTTTATCTCCAGGATGAAAACTGCATCCTTTGTCATTTTATTTACATCTTGTATTGGAAAAAGTCTTTATTTCCAAGCCCCTAGCACCTGTCCAAGTTCTACTCTGTGACTTTGAGGGAACCAGTGGTGCTGAGGTGAAGAATATGTAAACAAGATGTTTTACAAATCAAGTGGCAAAAACACAAAGGGTAGCCCTCCCAGGGGACCTGCCAGGCCAGAGACATGGAGAGGTGGTGGGGTGGGGGTGCTTGGAGTAAGCTGTAGAGCAATTCAAACCATTCCAGGAAATTGCACGGCTTTCCAGAAATCTTCAAAATACCCAGGACCCAGAAAGATCACCTCTAGGATATAAGAGCTGTGCTCAGAGTAGACCACAGTTTATATTAGGCCTATAACTACACCCACTTTCTATTCTCTACTGGCCCAGGATAATCTCAGTCCACACTGAGCCTCTGAACTAAGGATTTCTAGAGTCAAGGCAAATATACCCCTGCAGCACAGGTAAAGTGGCTATGAGACAAACCCTGGCCTTTACCGTTTTGCTGTCCTCCGCTCTCCCCCTGTTCTTTCTGTGCCTCTGCTCTCCACTCACCTCCTTTCAGAAAACTCATACTTCTCTCCTTGAGTGTACCTTGGACTCACATATCAGCACCTTCTGGGGCTCTGACGGCTGCCAAATATCCCAAACACAGAGGATGTATCTGTAGTCCAGCGGCTGGGTGAATACCTTTCCAGGTAAATCATGGACTGAGACCACCATTTGTCTCTGAACCTGAGAGGCATGCAAGTAGGACACCTTGCGGTCTGGGGACAAGATAAAAAAAATGTTTTTGCATTTTAGCAATCTGCCAGATGCCATATGATTAACATGTCAGAATACTCAAATACATTTCAAACTAATGTAGAGACAAACCTGATCCTTCCAAAACTGAAACATTATGAAATCTGGGTTTCAGTGAAGGCCATAGCCCGTACCTGAGGACTCTGTCCAAGCAACACTGCGGTTTGCTGAGGAACAATCAGCTTTGATGGAACACAGCTTGAGCAGGGTGCCTCCTCCTGTCTGCCAGCAATTCCCAGAGAAGCAGGCAGTCATGCCCAGGGCAGAACTCAGGGCAGGCAACACCAAGGACAGCCAGAAGCAGCCCCTCTGCTCAGCAACGTGTTAGGACGCTACTACTGGGAACTTCAACACTTTAGACTCCTGGTACCACGTGGCAACCCTGTGCTAGGAATGGATTCACTTCGTCTACACATGACTCAGGTCCACACCCACCCACCAGGTCCTCAACTCACTCACGGGTGTCTCCTCCTTCCACATGCACACCACAGCCCCAGGGCTCCTCCCCAGCACATTGCACCCCCTCAGGGAAGGGCCATGATAGTTTGTGCTTCTTGACCACCTAACATGAGGAAAAGCTACCACGTGTGCTGCCTTCCTAGTCCTAAGTGACGGAGGTTTCTGACTGTCCTATTCAGTGGAGCGTAGGATACAGAAGATTAGAATTCTCTATGAAGGCTGAGGCATCACTGTGTCTGACCAAAGACCCGGACGTTATGAGAGTCAAATGCTAGGTTCACAACAATGAGACAGTTTACTGTGTCAATTTACGCTCTGCCCTGACCTCATTTTTCTTCTGTTACTCCAATAGTTATTTTACTAAAACACAAGAGTAAGCAAGAAGAAAAATCTCTACTCCTTTCATATATGGTTGGTCTCTTCAGAATGTGTATTAATATTTGAAGGAGGTTTTTTGATATCTGCTGCCACTCCACTCTGCACCTTCTCTTCTGTTTCTTTGGGTGAGGGTGTGGGTGTGGTCAGGGTGTTAAATATTACACACATGATGGCTTACTATTTTTCTAGTGAGACAACTCTTTGGTTTAAAATAAAATAGTTTTAAACAGTGTAAAGATTTAAGTTAACAATGAGATTTTTGTGAATGTTAAAAGGTGAGGAACCCGCATTAATCTGTCTCTAAATACAGGCAGGAAGGAAGAAACGCCTGGAACCAGAAGTACAGAGGGCTCTGGCTTCTCTCCTGGAGCACACCTGTGCCCTCACCTGTAGAAGAGAGGTCAGTTTCTGGATTGGCCCCTTCTTGCTGTGTTTTCACACACACACACACACACACACACACACACACACACACACCAGGGCCATGATGGCCACAACCTACTCTGCTAGTGGCATTTCTCAAAGGCCAACATGTCATTTTCAGCTAAAGAAACTTTAGTCTTATAAACACAGTTTTTAAACTAACTTAACAGAATTACATGCAAGTGTTCTTTACATTCAATGTCATATCTGCATTTATCATTTTCTGCTCTGTAATCATGGATAAACTTAAAAATCTAAGTATATATATGATAAACAGGAAGCGTCCACTTCGCAGGTCTAACCAGTGAAACCACTATGATCTTCGGTGGCATAGCCCTGCCTGACCTGAACACAGTGCTGCTCCAGTTCCTCTATTTTATTCCAAGAGATTGAAGCAGCTGAGCAACTGTGAGGAAAAAGATAACCTAAAACAAATACAGATGACCTCAGTCTTCAGCTTTTAAATAATTTCACTAATTTAAATTACTGTAACACCTCTTCTAATCAACTTATTAAAATTTCTAATCAAAAATTTAACACATATATTAAGAAAAACTACTCACTTTTCAGTTCTGCAGAAACTGTCTCTCTGTTTTACATATAATAAACTACATCACATTAAAATAGAATGCAATATTACAGTTATTGTTTCAATATAAATGTCTAGGAATCAAAATTCAAGCCATGTTCCAGAAAGGCCTCTTACTCTGAAGGAATGGCAGGCTGGTATTCAACCGGGAGGCACTGTCACTGATAGACAAGGTGCTGTCCTGCGTCCTGGGATTGCAGGTAGGTTCAGTGGCCAAATGGTCCTCTTCAAGCAAAACAGCAATCACCTTTCAAAGACAAGTGAGTATTCTTTTACACTCAGTAAATTACAATCTGTCAACTTTTCATCGTATCCACTTCTACAAATAAATGTTGGCTCCACCATATCAGACAAACTTAAAAAATGTATGCTCCTTTCTGAATAATAATAGAAACTAAGCCAAGTGTGGTGGTGCATGCCTGTTACCCAAACACTGGGGAGACTGAGGCAGGCGAATCAACATAAGTTCAAGGCCAGCCTGGGGTACAAAGTGAGTTCAAGACCAGCATGAACTACATTGTGAGACCCTGTCTCAAAATAATAATGACGGTGATGATAAGCTGAGTATTTAGCTCAGCAGCACAAACCTGCCCGGCAAGTTCCAGGTCATAAGTTTGATCCCCAGAACCAAAACAAAAAAAGATGATGATAATGATGATGATGATGATGATGATGACAAAAACAGAAAAAAGGTCAATTAAGATAAATGCTAGGAGATTTTTTTCCACCAGATATTCTGCTGGAAATCACAGAGGAAGAGAAAGGGCTGATTACCAAACACCATTAAATGAACACAGTATAACAGACAAACACTGGAAAACCATTACACTCTTTCTCCCTGGACAGGGGCAGTGTTCGTTATGGCTTTTACTGTAACTAGATGTCCCCCCAAAACCACATGCACTCAGAGGTGGGGATGTGGCTGGATTATGGACACGTGGTAACTTACTGATTTGGCCTGGTTTAGGTGTGGGAACTGAGAAGGCCACCAACAGGCTACTTGTAGCCAGGGTGCAAAGTGCAGCTGTTGCCTCCCCTTCACTGCCTGGGGTGGTTTCGCCTCAGCCTGCCCGCCTGCCTCCTGCTCTACCTTAGAGTCAGCTGACGTAGGCTGAAACTTGTACAAACTGTAACCTGAAATAAGCCTCTCCTCCCTTCACCTGTGGTCACTAGCTATTCTGTCCCAGCAATGAGACAGAAGACAGTGCTGAATCCCTACAACTATAATAAAGGGCTCATCTCCTTAGGGTGTACAGGAGAAACAGACAGGATGTGAGGACAGGAGTGGTGTGCGGTGGGCGGGCACACTCAGTGAGGACTGACAGGGAGGGTGTGAGGGCACGGGGCACACTCAGTAAGAACAAACTGGAATGGTGTGTCGAGGGTGGGCACATTCAGTGAGGACTGTGTTCGGGGCACACTCACTAAGAACAAACTGGAATGGTGTGCAGTGGGTGGGCACACTCAGTGAGCACTGACAGGAAGAGTGCTAAGGAAGACTCAAGGATACTATGAATGCACAGCTGTGAACTGGGCACAGCCCCATGGTGACCAATCTCTGTCTACATTTCATTTGCCCCCATGTTCCCTCTTCCCATGCCATTGTACCCAACTGGTATGTTGTTATAGTCCCCAAGAACTTTACACTAAAACATAATCGGAGGGCAAAAAATTATGTGAGATGTACAGGTTTCTAAATCACAGATTCCTATATAAAAATGGCATTCAGACAAAGTAACTACCAGGTATTCAGAGTTTACTCTGATACACAGGCTTCACACAAGCCTAACTCCGATAAGTAGGCTTAACACAAGGCATGTCAAGATTTAACAATGTTTAGCTGTTTATTTCAGCTCTATATTTAAATTTGGAACTTATATAGAAAAGTGTTTGAGATAACAATAAATTTGAACATCAACTTTATATTTTAATATATTAAAAATTATTAGTAATAATGCTTCCATGGATTTATTTAGAGATTTACACTGTATACTTATGAAGGAAAAGTTGATCACATGGACGGGTGGCTGGGGGGATGTGGTGAAGGTGTCAAACAAGACAAACTGGCCATGAGGTGATATTACTGAAGCACACAAGGAATCACAAGACTATTTCCTTTATCTTTGTATGTATCTGGAAGTTTCTATCATTAATTTTTAAAATCATGAATTTATTATTTTCAAATACCTACATTATGCTTATGTGTGAACTTAATATGTCTATAATTATGTTTTATAATTATTTTTAAATATAAGAAATTAATATTAAACTGTAGAACTGGACCAGGGATATAGCTCAATGGCACAGCACCTTCCTGGTAAGCATGAGGTCCCAAGTTTTATTCCCAGTAACAAAAATTTTTTTAAAAAATAGATTATAGACCAAAAAAAAAAAAAAAAAAGGAGCTGAGGGTTTAGCTCAGCGGCATAAGCACCTGCCTTGCAAGCAGGCGGTCGTGAGTTCGATCCCTGGTACCGATAAAAATGAAAAAAAAGACAAAAAAAAAAAAAAATAGATTATAGAACCCAGAGGCACAGGCAGTACTTCCAGCAATACACAGTTCCCAGGGTCACTTTTCACATAAGGGTTTATGAATGTACTATTGATGATTTGTAAAAAAAAATAGTAACTGAAAATGAATAATTGACTCTAATTTATCTAAGCTGTAAATTCTCCAAGATTTCAATAGTCCTTATGCTTCTACATACATTGAAATCTTTAAGTATTCACACACAGAAGAGACTATATAACACAACATATACCTGACAGGCTGCTCGGAGAAAGTTAGATAACCTCGGAGTATTAATCTTTGGTACAAATGTAGCAGTAGATGTTTCTCCTTCTTTACTACCTAGCAAAAAGAGAGTACATAAAGTCAACAAAGTGGACTTATTTTTTTTTTTTGTCTTTTTTTCGTTTTTATCAGTACTAGGTATCGAACTCACGACTGCCTGCTTGCAAGGCAGGCGCTTATGCCACTGAGCTAAACCCCCAACCCCCAAAGTGGACTTTATAGTAGTTGTACTGTACACATCTCAGAGTTCAAAGAGATGTTACAAATGAAAATTAAAGTCAGGCGTGGTGGTGCATGCCTGTGATTCCAGCACTGAGGAGCCAGAGGCAGGAAGGGATGCCTTGAGTTTAAGGCCAGCCTAGACTACACAGTGAGTTCACGGCTAGCCTGCATTATAAAGAGAGACCCTGTCTCAAAAAAAAGAAAGAAAAAGAAAAAGAAAATTAAGAGTTCTAAAAGAAAAACCAGAAAAACAGAAATTCTCTAGATTTTTTGTTGCTGTTGGTTTTTTTTGTTTGTTTTAGTTTTCCTGGGGGGGGGTGGTTTTTTTAGTTTGTTTTGTTTTGTTTTTTGAACTCATTATGTAACCCAGGCTGGCCTCAAACATGTGGCAACTCTCCTTCCTCAATTTCCCCAGTGCTGGGATTACAGGCATGCGCCACCACATGTAGCTGTCTTCTAGATCTACGAGTAATTTTTTTTTCCAAAACAATTGCATATCATTTTAGTGAAAGTCTCTAAGTTGAATCTTATTTAAGTGTAGAAAGTAGTTAAAGGAATCAATTCATTCTCAGGATGCTGACAGGAAAGTCACTTTAAGTTCAAGGCCAGGCTGAGCTACATAGTGAATTCAAGACCACAATGAACTGTACTGCAAGACTCTATCTCAAAAACAAAAACAAAAACAGAAGCAAAACAAAACAAAAGGCAACCAATTCATTATTTAAGTAACAAATTTAGGCATACAGATTAAGCATTCCTAATCCAAAAATCCAAAATCTGAAATACATATTAGTCTCAACCATTTTGAATAAGGGATACTCAAACTATATTACTCTCCTAACATGAGACTTACCTGAGGAAAGGAAATAATTCCTGCCTAGATAGAGACAATTGCTCAAGAAAAATAATTAAAAAGCATTTAATGTACAAATAGCTGCAGAATACCTGGTTGGTACCTTCAATCTGTATTGATGGACTTTACTTGTAAACCACACTTTATTTATTTATTTATTTATTTATTTTTTGGTCTTTTTATTTTTATCGGTACCAGGGATCGAACTCACAACTGCCTGCTTGCAAGGCAGGCGCTTATGCCGCTGAGCTAAATCCCCAGCCCCGTAAACCACACTTTAAAAACTGAAAATCCCCCATATGGGTAAGAACAGACTGTCCCCATCTTGGAAGCACAGTATGTTCCTCACGTCCAGGAGGTTGTCTGGAATGGGGACTCATAGCACAGGTTATCGATCCTGGTAGGGCCAGGCCCTCTCCCGAACTCTTAAAGCCTGCTTGTAGCTCTCATGGGCAATCATTGACAAAAGCGAGTTTGTTTCTCTCAAACAATACTAGGTATTTTCATAGCCTTATAACCACACCAGAGAAAGACATAATGGGAAAAAACAAGAAAGGAAATAAAAATAAAACAAAACTGTAAAGACAGGCGATATTCAAGACCAAAGTAGCACCTCCAGAAACAATGGCGCCTTCTCCAGGATGTTGGGTCCACACTTCTCTGGTCTCTATGTCTTCAGTCTGAATGTCTCGTTCAACATTATCTTCATTATACTGAACATATGCCTTAAGAACAAAGGTATGGAGAATTAACATTTGGCAATAAAAACAATTACAAGTTTTAAAAGGTTAACATAAGTCTTTTTCTTAATGTCAAAGTAAGAATTAATGCATAAATAATGATCATACAAAGATTGCTTTTGTCTCAAATATTTGATAAATACAGGCCTAATTTCTTCTTTTTTTTTTTTTTTTTTTTTTTTGGTCTTTTTTTTGAGACAGCGTTTCACTTTGCAGTTGAGGCTGGCCTTGAGCTCACTTTGTAGCCCAGGCTGGTCTCGAACTCACAACAATCCTCCCACCTCAGCCTCCCGAATGCTGGGATTACAAGTGTGAGCCACCACACCTGGCTTTACAGGCCTAATTTCTAAAAAGTTTCCAAAAATCACATTGGACAATTTAGCTTTGGTTTGAAAACACTGCCACCTAGCCTACCCAAGTGCTGTTCTCACAAACATATTGGCATTGTAAAACCAACATAATTTACCTACATACTTCAATGAAGATAGTTTTATTATTAATAACTGGTGAGATGTGGAAAACAAGCAAAAAGTTAGACAATCTACTCAGGATCAGTAAGTCTCATGCACACTTGGGTTAAACCTGCCAGCTTCCCTGGGTCCATGCTGTGACCCTCCTTCTATTAACCAGGATTGCTGAGGAGACTAAAGTAGACATGAGATTTACGACCTCACTATCAGGAACATAGGAAAACAGAAGATATGCTATCTGACTTCAAACGCTTTATACCAGGCTGGAGAAACCTCTGTGGTGTTCTTGCCTCACATACACAAGGCGCTGGCTTAAATGCTCAGCCTTTAAAATAAAAAGGCATCATACTTTTGTTATGAATTTAGACTATCTCATGACTATAGATTAGTAGTATTATTAGGAAGTACAAAATTTCATGAGATAGAATAGCAACTTTGAAAGAGGAGAAAAAAATTCACCATAAGTTATGGGGCAAAGGGTCTTGGTGCTTCAGAATAGGCCTTGGACACAGAAGTTATCAGGCAGATAGGGCAGAGGGAAGGAGGAAGCATGAACAAGACATGGCGTAGCCTGGCCCAGTGACAGACCAGGCTTGAAATCTCTGTAGAATCAGAGAGGACAGGGTACCACACTGAATGCACAGCAACTACCACCTCCAAGGTCCTTGGCTTGTAAATATTTCATACAAACAAGTATTACTCACTCCTATTTATTCATCTGGCACCTGAAAACCAAATCCAACCTGGACAAGACACCTGCACCACACAAAGCTGTACTCAGAGTGGGAACTTGTTATGGATTGAGAACTGGTGGTCAACTTACCACCAGCTGGATTACATCGGCATGCATTGAGCGAAGATGCTCCACCTGAGGAGAGTTGCTAGGATAAATAGATGGAGAAGGGAGGTGTTGAGGGTTGAGGTGTTAAGGAGACATTGTGGGTTCTCCTATGAGTTGCTGTCTGAGCTGTTGGTTTTCCTGGAAAAGCTCTGGTCCTCACATCGAGCATTGCTTCCTGGCTCCAGAGGGGAAGACATGTGCTGCTTGGTCTCCAGGATGAACTCGTCACGCTGCTTCCTGGCACGTACCCATCTGTGCTTGTCGTCGGAGGAGCTCGGGGCCTCCATGTCGCTGAGGATGGCTGTGGTGCCTTTCAGGATAGCCCTGGTCTTTGTTGTGAGTGTGACTTCTCGGCTCCAGCGTAGAACCCTCATCCCACTAGCACAGTTCCTTCATCCTGCTGGCATAGACTTTCTGGCTTCCACCGCTGACCCTTGAGTCTTCCCGGCACGGATCCGTAAAAGAGACTGGTGTGAGTCCTTCTTGTGGGCTCTGGACCTCCTGTTGGACTCGTGGGAGGCATTGTCCTGAGCTCTGGGTTTTTATCTGGACTCATGTGGGACACTAACATGGGGTTTAGGCTCTTGACTAAATAATCTATGTTTTTGGTATTGCAGATAGATTTCCTGCATTTTCCTGTGTTAACTTCCAGTGACCATTATAAAAATATTATAAACTCCATGTCCTAATCCTAGTTGTTCTCTGTGTACAACCCCTGACTACAACAGAACTTCTGCCACACTGTAACTTGCTGCACAGGAATCACCGATCTATACTCCTCATGGCTTATGGGAAACCCTCGGACTGTCTGTACCATCTCCACAGCTGAAGAGCACTACGCAATGAAGGACTGCCTTTTCCTACACCACTGCCTCTGCAGACCATTCCCAAGTCAATCAGAAACTCCACAACAAGAGCCTGGGAGACACAACTGATACTCTACATGCATTTTGTCAATGAGTGAAATCGCCTTAAACTAACCTGCTTCGTATTTTTCTTCCCGAAGTTTCTGATATACATGTCATATTCATTAACTGGTGGTAGATCCAAGAGAGAGAACGTGAATGAAAAATCCAAGTCAATAAGCCGAAGTAATTTTGTACTTCTTGACCTTTAAAATAAGTCAGAAAGAAAAAAAAGTTAAATTAAGCAGCACACCCGGGAAGGTACAAGACAGAGGAATCATACAGAGGTTATTAGCAAAGACTTTTGTGGGGGTGAACAAGAGGTAATTAACATTTGTTAAAAATAGCTAAGTAAAAGACAGTCACACAAGGACCAAGGAAAAGAGTATATCATGAATCAAACATGTGACAAGCCAGTGCAGCACACCTGAGGTCAACACAAATAGTTAAGATGTACATTTGCCTGGTGATTGCTTTGCTACAGGAATTGCTCTCTGGCTAGAAGGATGGCATATTTGTTGTATCAGCCAGTGTTATGGTTTGAAAGCTTCACACAGTAATGGAATGAGAGGTTGCTTTTCAGAAATGGCTGGATCTGAAGTTTGTAATTGATTGAAGGTCCAATGCCAAGGTGAGTGCTACACATGCCCTAGGGGCAGGTAGCCTGCATACAATATAAGGGACAGAAAGAGGCTTGTCCCCTCTCTTCACTGTTGCTTTTTCTATCTTTTGCAAACGTGTACTGTTGCTCCTTTGCCATGTGCTATCCCCTCCTCCCAGAGCCAGGCAATTATGGACTAAAACCTGCACAAACTGCTAGTTAAATAAATCTTTCCCCCTTTAACTTTGGGTGTCAGCTATTTCATCTCAGCAACAAGCAAAGTAACTAAGACAGTCAGGCAGTGGTGGGCTGCACAGCTGGGCAGGTGTCCAGAATTTACTGCCCTGGAGGCCACTGCAGACCACTGCTCCACAAGACTCCGGTGTCTAGGTGGCTCCTGACAATGTAAATTACCCACAGCCTCAGAAACAGCTGCATCTGTTGGCTTCCTCTTCCTCAAAGACTGCCCCTTGGCTTGGGCTGCATTCTCCTTTTCTTCCAGATACCCTAACATTGATGAGCCCAAGTTCAACCATCTGCCACCCCTCCCTGAGCACAAGCTAGGTGAAGGCAGAGACCTTTATTTTTTCATTTGTGTTCTTTCATTCAGGTGGTGCCCAATAACACACAGTGAACCAGTGAACAAATGAATGAATGATCTCCGACATCCACAGCCTGACTTGCACTCACCTGTCCCTTCCTCTGCTTCCCTCTGCTCATCATCTGCAGTTTTGATTTACCAAAAACTGTGGCTTCTGTATCTTAATCTCTAACTGTTCCATCTTCTAACTGTTCCAGGTTTGGCTTCCAAAACCTTTCAAGCCTTCAGCACCTACTACCTTCACTTTCCTGGGCCTATCACACCTTCCTGAGTATGAGATATGGGGTCCTTTTTTGGCATCCATGTATTAACTACTCCAGAGTCATTTATGGGAGCTCACTCCACCTGCTACATGCAGTGACAATGTAGTCAGGGACCAGAGGGATCTAAGAATGCTCCTGGACTCCAGCTCCAATGGGGCCAGCCTGCCTATCCTCATGCCAAGACACAATTCAGCTACTGTAACTTTAAAACTCATTCTCTGATTTAAGGCTTCTATCTTTGTTTTCCTCATCAATACTGTCTTCATCTCTTGTAACCTTAACAATTTAGAATCAGCATTCCAAAATATGTGAATTCACACATACACACACCTGCTGTGACTTAAAAATTGGAATGGCCTTCACACTATAATTATTTTATCAGAAACTGATGTCCTGCCATATTAAGACTTTTGATGCACGAATAGTTTATGGCATCTGATTTAGCTTTCCATCTTTGAAAACAACAACAACAAAAAACTTAAGGTAGAAGAATTATTTTGGCTCATAGTTACTGAGATCTCATCCTATGGCCGGTGGGAGGAGCTGGTGCACCATAGTGGAGAGCATGTAGCAGAAGAGACTGCTCACCTCACGGCAGACAGGAAGCAGACAGAGCAGGAAAGGTGGGACCAGGACAAGGCACAGCACCCAAACACAAGCCATCAAGGACATGCTCTTTCAACTGGGTCTCACCCCTCAGCTTCCATCACCTCCCAACAGCCATCAAATTATGAACCTGTCAATGGATGAATTCCCAGTTCAGTGGGCCGCTAGGCAGTGCCCAGCCACAGCAAGCGGGTCACAGGGGGTCTGACCTTGAAGAAGGTAGCTTGGCCCTGATCCTTCCCATCTCTCTCTGCCTCTGGTGAGCCACTGCTCTATCACACACTTTCCACCATTATATTCAGCCTCCCCCATCCCTACAGTCCGAAGCTATCAGGGCTTCCTGTGGTGGAGACACCAACATGCAGTGCAACACCAGCCAGGCTTGCTCTATCGGGGACCTTGCAGTCTCCAGATTTGTGAACGTGCAACTGGGGCTCCTGACCTGGCTCCAAACAGAAATGGACCCCCAGTCCTCAACATCCAGCTACGAATTTAACCAGGAATGTGGGCACCAAGCATCCCAGGGTAAAACAGTGCAGGCACTACTAGCATAATATCCAAACTCCAACAGAAACGCAGCACAAATTGAGGAATACACCTAAACAGGCAATAGGAAAAGCTCTATCTTTAAAAAGGTGTTGAAGAAAAGTATATTAAAAATCCCTCTGTATCTTTGGCAAATTTTCCAAAATACTTACTTTTGTTTAAGGGCCTGAGTTCGACTCTTTTGTCGACGTGAGGCTGTTGCAAAATCCACAAAAATCCCACAGACAGGTGCTCTGGAAGGGGAATGGTTTGGATCTACACAAGATAACAAAATTGTTTTTAAAAATATTTGTTATAATGAAATACTACAAGCAAAAAAAAAATTCACAGTAAAACCATTACAAGCATGTATAGCAAGCATGTTCAATAAACTATTTGAAACTGATAACAATAAACATCTTTCGTGAACATTGAAGGGCTGGCTCTTGCTAACTAATCAAAAACCTTCAGGCAACCAGGCAAAATTTACTGACCATCTGTTGTATGTCCCAATCACACCACTAAGAATTTGAAGCCAGGCAAGGTGGTACATCCTAGCACTTTGGAGGCGGAGGCAAAAGAGTTGTGAATTTGAGGCCAGCCTAGGATACCCAGCAAGTCTGAGGTAAGCCTGAGCTACACTGTGAGGCCTTGTCTCAAAAAAAAAAAAAAAAAACATAGTTTAAGAAATATTTAAGAATATATGTTGGATACAGTCCTCTGTGCCCATCTATCCTACAAAATAAGTGAACATTGATTATACAGCATCTCCCTTAACCATGGTTTCACTTTCTGAAGTTTTAGTTACTCACAGTCAACCAGAGTCTGAAGGTATTGAGTGGAAAATTCAAGAAATAAATGATTCATCAGTTCTATATTGCATGCTATTCTGAGTAGCAAAATGCAAGTCCCACTGTCCCCCTGTTCAGTGTATTGACTACCCACCCATTAGTCACTCAACAACCATCTAGGGTATCAGATCCACTGTTGCAGTCCTGCAAGGCTTGGGTTCAAGTGACCCTTCTTTTACTTAATAATGGCCCCATACTGAGGCTGGCCATCCAGTTGTGCCAAAGAGAAGCTATAGAGTGCTTTCTCTAAGTAAAAAAGGTGACAATTATTTAAGGAAAAAAAAAAAAGAATCTATGCTGAGGTGCTAAGAGCTATGATAACAAAGAATCTTCCATCCTAAAACAAGAGGAAAAATAAACTCCAGCTTCTTTTGTTGCTATATATCAAGAAGCTGCACTTAGAGCCTCTGTGCACAACAGGGGTCTAGTTAAGGAGGAGAAGGCTTAGAAAACAGCCTTATGGATAGAAAACACAGACAAAAAACATGTCCCAGCTGATGGCAACAATGGTAACGTGGCACTAGAAAGCATGGAGCCTGTGTGAAGACTCCCACAAGACATCCCAACACGAGGGCGTCTGCCACTCCTGAAGGGAGAGGTGGTTAATCAGGGCCCGGTCTGGACTAAAAAACACAAAAACTGCTGGACAAGCCATCTCTGCTGAGGAAGACACTGCCACATTTCCAGCAGAACTGAGGAAGTTTCCAAAGAGGAAGGACAGCATTCAACACAAGTCTTCAGCTGTAATGAAACGGGGCTCTTCGGGTGATGCTGCATGGAAAATATAAATTACGAAAATGCACAGGAGCAGCGAGACTCAGGAGCTAGAAGGACAGATGAGCTCCACACGGCAATGCCCCAGAGCCTGGGATGAAGGCAGATATGGTGTATGGAGCAGAGAATTCACACACCTTCACAAAGGGCAGGTAACAGCCACTTTGAATCTGTAGGGCTCAGTACTATCTTCAGGTTTGGGCATCCACTGAGGGTCTCAGGGTGCGCCACACAGATGGAAAGGAAATACAAACCCGATAAAGAGTAGAAACAAAGTAAATCACTACTCAGTCAATCACTGACTACATCACAGGTGCTGCTGACAGCACCCCAATCCTACCACCTTTCTCATGGAACAAGCCAGCCCTCCCCTCTCCTCCAAAGGACTGCTGCAGTTTGTATTTGTCCAGACTTTTATACAGGTACTTCGATTATATCTTAACCTTCTCTCATCTCTTGTGGATTTGTATCTGAACTTACCAAGGGCAGAATAAGCAACTGTACCGTCTTACAGTGTCACAATTTCTTAGAGCCCCTTCCCACACACACAGTATCTCACTTCCTAAGGCCAGTGGTACCAAGAGAGCACAGCCATCCGGGATGGGAGACCTGAGTTCAGATCCCAGCATGGCGAGGCCTGCATCATGATGTGAGAGGTCGCTTTACCCCCACACCTGTCTCCCAAGATCAGAACACCTGCCATGCAGACCACTGTGAGGGATGGGAGCAGGCTGTGCTTCAGAAGAACAGAGTGCCAACCTCAAAGTGCCTTAAGAGAAGTACGCTCCAGATTTAAAGAACAGAAATATGGCAGACAAGTCTAAAGTCACAGGATTAAGATTCTAATAATGAAATCCCTGGGGCAGAGTGAACACCTCTGTGCCGAAAGCTAGCACTTTGTCAATCCTCACTCATCAACCACGTAGACCACTTACTTCTAGAGGTAAATGCATCAATGCTTTAAAACCCTGGTGCACTGCAGAAAGCTATTTGTCAAGTGGTTTCTACTCTCTTAAAAAAAAGACGTGATGTGCATTTATGACTAGATTAACCCCAGGATGTAGCAGGGCATTCACACAAAATAGCACCATGACAGCTGGAGATGCCCAAGCAGGACACAGGACATAAACACAATCAGCAACTTGATGGTAGAAATGAAACTGCAGTCGTGGGCAACATCCCCAGAGCTTAGTGTGTATCTGGCACCCTTCTAAGCACTTTGTGTGTATTAGCTTATTTAATTAACAACAGTCTTAAAGAACTGCCTACTAGCCAGCAAGCAACAATGCCAGGACTTGAAGCTCCAGAATGAGGACTAAGTGTCAGGCACTACTTCCTCTGTGTAGGGCCCACAAGAAGGGTGCTCCTTCCCCTCCATCCATGTACACCAGCTCAGTACCGAGGGCACCAACTGGGCAGCAGAAAGCGAATGTTGCCAGCCTTCTGCTGAGGGTGGTCAGGCTGATTCCGTAAGTCAGACTTAAGCAGCTAGGATGCTAAGCATCAACACAGGAAATGGGTACCAAAAAAGGTCATTACAGATCTGCTGAGAAAAGCAAACACTCCAAGAATAAAATCTCACTCATTCCAGCAACTGACCACCAGTTTCGCCACCTCTATAGCAGGCGCAAAATACCAGAACAATGGTTCTTCTTCCAGACTTGTATTTGTATTCTTACAGTACTAATTACTCACTGTAATTAATTCATTGCTAATTACAAGGTGATTTAAGGGAGAATATCACCAAATGCTATTTGTAATGCCTTGTTTCACTTCTAGTGCTACTTTGAGAACTTGTTTGGAAGTTCTAGCAGGAAAGTGCAGCTACTTACACACCCTTGACTGAGGAACGGTCCTCCTCTATCAGGGTGGTCATCCTCTTCGACAGACACGCAGCTTCGGAAGGGACGCCCATGGACCATTGAGGGAGGAAGGGGACACCCACCTAGCCAGCCAGATCAACCAAATCAACCCTGGCAATCAATGGGGTGACAGATGTCACAGCCAGATCGCCCTCACATCCTCTAGTGCTACTTTTAATGCAAATATTTTATCATTAAGCAATTTTAAAATATTTTCTCCTATTCTTATCAGTAACCTATCATGGCCCAATGCTAAGAATTTGGGGGAAAAACAGTCTCAAATCCCTAAAGAGATCCCAGGAAGAGGCCCAGTGAGAAGTCTGCTTCCTGAGAAAGCAGACCTAAGGGGCTGGGGGTTTAGCTCAGCGGCATTAAAAAAAAAAAAAAGAGAGAGAAAGCAGACCTAGGCCTGCTGGCCAGGGCCTCCCTGCTGGGGCTCTGGGCCTGCTGCCATCACCATGACTGCTTTCTGTGCACACTCAGGGTGAGTACCATCAGAATAACAAAGCACATGGTCACAGGCAGCGAGCACCAATGCACTCTGGAGGTGACAGCAGTGCTTGCAGCCACTCTTAGCCTCACTGCTGCACTGAAAAGTGACCAAACCTGTTTTCGCAGGACTCCCATCCTGAGTAGAGTAGCTATCCATGTCACAGACAAGAGGTATGGCACCATCGAGACACACAAGGCCCTAGCTATCTCCCCACCTTGCTGCAGTGATCAACTACAGCAGATGCTACTCAGGTTCACCAGAGCACACACCCTGTGACCAGCACTGACCACACACCTGCCCGGAAGTCCTTGTTACTCTCCATCCAACCCTGCTTCTGAAACCTCTGTGCAGACAACTCGTCAATCCTTTGATTTTCTGCATGAATGGCTTTTTGAATTTCTTGGATTTCCCTTTTGTGAGCTAGAGGAAGTTCTTCAGTTTTTTCTTTTGATTCAGGTTCATTGTTGCTATCATCATCATCTCCATCACAAACTTCAAAATCATCTTCATAGTCCTATGAACAAATGTTTTCACACCTCTAAGACAAAAACGTTCAACAACAGATTGAATCAGGGCTAGGGCTGGGGATTTAGCTCAGCAGCATAAGCACCTGCTTTGCAAGCAGGCAGTCATGAGTTCGATCCCCGGTACCAATAAAAAAAAAAAAAAAAAAAAACAGATTGAATCACTAAAATCTGTAGCACCGGCAAAGCCCTCATTAAGGATAAAGAAGATATTAGAGTTCATGGATGTTAACACTACTGAATTATAAATTTGTGTGGACTGCAGCATTTGCTTCTGTAAAAAGGTGCCACAAAATATACAATAAAGACACTCCAAGCTACTAATAACAATAGTATATAAACAACCCTACCTAAAATGCATAGTTACCCACATACATATAAATGCAGCAGAATTAAAGATAAGTTAATTATAAAATTATTTAATCACATCATATCAACAAACACTAACAGAAGTATAGTAAGCTTCCAGGCAGTAAACTTAGCAGGCAGTGTTAACAGTATTAGAAGAGAGAAAAGAGCAATTAAATTACATAAGCTGATTACTCAGAATAAATACACTTGAGATAAATTTAACTTTTATACTTGCTTCAAAATCATCTTCAAAAGTCGCAGAGTATTCATCAACCCCAGCATTCTCTAAATCAGTGTCTTCTTTCTCAATTTCCTAATGGTAACAAAATAAAACATGACAGAGATAAATTGTAAACTTGAATGCTGCAAATATTTAGGAAAGTACATGTTTCCTGATACTCCTCTGATGTAATCACACTAATTTTCAAATATATTAATACAAATAACATAGTCTATCTTTGAAATGCTATAAAAATACTCTTAATAAAAATATACTGAACACTATGAAGAGAAAAAAGAAAGCATTTTAAGTTAAAATATAAATATAAAATAATAAATATATAATACATATAAACATAAAATAAATATAAATAAATAATAAATGCCAAAGAGACATGTCTTCAACCAGATGCAAACATTACACAGTATATAAATATACTGCACATACAACCTATGGCACCATATTAATATATACAAATTTTATCTTTCTGTCACTTATAAATAAATTTAGAAAAAAAAATTTAAAACAATCTAGAAAGAAGATTTTTCCAAAAATAATTTTAAGTATACAAAAAGAAAATAAATAAAAAACAAAAGACCTTTTGTTAAGTTACTGGTGGGGCCAAGGAACAATGATTAATAAACATGGCCCTTTGGAAAAAAACTCTTTAACACTAAGGGAGAAAATGTCCTACAAAACAAAGTCAAATGTGCAGCCATCCCTTCTCACGTGAACAACCCCTCCTCCTTTTTCTGCATCTGCCCTTTACCTGTTGCTTACTGACAGTCCTGCTCTACCTTCCCCACACCCCCACTCTCCAAGATATTCCCACTCTTCCAACGCATCCCACCTAACATGGGATCCAGCATTCCATTCTCCCCCTTTCCATCTGGATGCTCAACCTCCATGCAGCACTCACGGTTCCTACTGTGTCTTGATTCTTGCTGAGCACAGAGGTGCTTTTCTAGAAAACCTATCTGACCATGCCATACTCATATTCAAAACCAAGATGGTTTCCCATCCCCTACAGCAGACAGTCAGACAACAGAACACACAGGTTCTCACAGCCGAAATATTCCCCATCATCTAGAATATCTAAAGCATGTGGTGAAACATGCCACACACATCCACAGAGCACAAGTAGCTCCTGTCACCAGCAGCAGATAGTGAAATACACCACGCACAACTCGATGAAGCTATGCTTTTATCATGGATGTGGCAGGCAACCTGCAACAGTGTCACTCTGGTGACTGAGGAAGGACAGGCATAGGGTAGAAATGAGGCAAGACAAGAACCACAGGCCTAGTAGAGAAGCCACCAACCATCCGTGATCAGGAAAGCAACAGTGACCTGGGGTGAGGGTAGAAAGAAAAGTAGGCCCCAAGTTCTAAAAACTCAGCAGATATCTTTGTTATCAACCAATAAATGAGAGCAGGAGAGACAGAAAACTTAGGAAAGGGTGGGAAAGAGATTCACCAGTGTGGTTCAGGTACAGAAAGAGTAACGAGGATGAGCAGAACATCCAGAAGACAGAGGTACACACTCAGAGCTCAGAAAGAAGCCAGTTCACTGCTCAAGTGTGTCTTTCACCATTGAAGAGTGTAATCTTTCATCTTTAGCACCTAGCAAAATGCTGCACAGAAACAATACCACAAAATCAATTAGTTATGCTACAAAAAGCCTCCTATACCTTCATTTCCGACCTTCCAGACATCAACATGTTTCACTCTGCTCACATGTGCCATTAGACTGAGGGATTAATAAGGTACCCTCGTGCCTAATACACCCGTGACTTTAATACTAATAAACCAATAAGACTCTAGTGAAGTTTCCTATGGAAAAAAGAACCACGTTATTAGTATCTAAAAGGAAAGAGGGGGGCAGCACTATGGACCCTACAGACATAAAGGATGGTGAAGGAATACAATGAACTACCCACCCACAAAGTGATAGACTAGATGAACTGGACCAACTTTTTTAAAGAAACAAGCTTCCAGAGCTCATCCCAGAATAAACAATTTGAACAGCCCTACATCTGTGGAAAAAGTGACTCCACGGTCAAAAACCTTCCAGGATAGAAAGCGTCACACAGCTGGTACCAGAAGGTACTGGCACTGTGACACTCACAAAATGTTCAGGGAGATATCCTACAACTCCCAACAATCTCTGCCAAAAGAGAGAAGCAGAGGTAACTTCCTCATTCAGGGAGGCCAGCCCTAGCCTGACACCAAAAGCAGACCAAGATATTACAGATAGAAAAGCACAGACCAATAGGTCTCATGAATGAAGATGCAAAGCTCATTTTTAAGAAACTGTACCAAATAAAACCCAACAATATATAAAAAGAACTATGTATCATAACCAGTTGTGATTTATCCCAGGCAGGCAAGTCTGGTTCAACATTCAAAATTCTATATAATCTGTTAAATCAACAAGTTTTTAAAAATCACATAATCATATAAATAGCTGCAGAAAAAGCATCCAGCAATACTCAGAATCCATCCATGATAAAATTCTCAGCAAACTAAACGTAAAAGGAAACTCCCTCAACTTGATAAATAGCAACAAAAGAAATCTGAAATTAATGTCACTTATTGGTGAGAAACTCAAAAGTTTTCTTTAAAAGACCAGAACAAAACCAAGATATCCCTTGTCACTGATCTTTTTCAACACATCACACTGGGAGTTCGAGCTAATGCAACAGAACAAGAAAAGGAACTGAAGTCATAGTAATGGTAATTGAAAAGGAAAGAACAGTACTTTGTTTCCGGATGATATGATGTATGTGTGGAAAATCAAAAAGAATTGCCGCCCCCCAAAAAAAGAACTCCTGGAACTAGTGTTATACTAAGATGCTAAAAATTAAAATAATTGATTAAAAGATAATTAACAAAAATAGTTACTTAAAAAGATAGTTATTAGTAATATTGTCATTCTGTACTGAGCTCATTACCCTAGTAACCAAGCACCAACCACATAGTTATAAATTAACTGACCGCGTCGTTCTGCTGTTCTGTAATGCGTCATCCCCCCCTACCTTAGTGACCTGTGTGCAATGTCAACTTTTGTTCCCCTTGTAAGAGACAAATGATGCTGTGTCAACCATTGTTCCTTTTATGAGGACAAATGTTCCTGGAATTGGCAGACCAAGGGCTATGAATTGGCTAACCACCCACTGTGAAATGCCTCTTACCTCAAGCAAAGGGGAACAAAGGCCCACCTTATTTCTGTTTCTCATCACTATGTACTTAATGATCAATGAGCTAATCATAAATGAACTATAAAAATCAGTCAAAACTCTAACTCAGTTGCACCGCTTTGCAAATTCCATCTGCACTGTGTCGCTGGGCCAGCTAAAATAAAAGCGCTTCTTTTAAAAAAGACGTCTTGCCCCGTTTGTCATCTTGGGGTCTTGCCCTGTTTTTCATCATGGGGCCCCGTTTTTTGAGTAGAGTACAACAACTAGTACGTGATTATAGCAAGTTTACAGGACAAAGTTTATAAATAAGTCAATTGCTGGGCAGGGATATATCTCAGCAGCGCAGCATCTGCTTGGCAACTGCAAGATTTTGAGTTCAATTCCTTGTACCAAAAAAAAAGTCAATTGCTTTCCAATATGCTGTCAATGAACAAGTGAAATCTGAAATTTAAAATAGATTACCATTTATGTTAATATCACCAGATCAAATATTTGGGTGACAATCTAACAAAATATGTGCATGATCTCTATGAGGAAAACTATAACTTTGCTGAAGAAAATCAAAGAACTAGATAAGTAGAGAGATATTTGTGTTCATTGATAAGAAAAGGCAAGACTGTCAAGACGACAATTCTAACCAACTTCATTCTACAGATTCAATGAGTCCCAATCAAAACCCCAGGGAGTAAATTTGTAGATATCAGCAAACAGACTCCATAGGATGTTGGAAGCCAACCTGCTATGAAGAATGACCGCTGGAGGGCTGACACTGCCTGACATCAAGACTTAGTGCAAAGCCACAGCAATCAATGCAGCATGGTGCTGCCAAAGGACGGACAGACAGATACACTATGGAACAAAACAAGAGAGCCCGGAAACACACTCACATCACTATAGTCAGCCAATCATTCACAAAGGAGCAAAAGCAATCTCAGGGAGCAAAATAATAAATTAGAAGAGATCTGGACACAGACCTTCCCTTTAGAAAACAACACAGCATGGGCCACAGCCTAGTGTAAAAGACATGGCCAAGCTCCTAACAGATATGACAGGAAAAAACTCAGATGACTTCTAATGTGGTGATGGCTTCTTAGAACACAACCCAGTTCATGAAAGAAAAGAATAAAAAGCTGGACTTCATGACAGTAAAAACCTTCTGCCTTGTGGAAGACACAGTCAAGACAAAGAGGAGACAAGTCACAGACTGGAAGAAAACATTTGTGAAAGAGATATCTGATGAAAGGTGGTTATCCAAATATCCAAATAACTCTCAAAACTCAACAGCAAGAGTAAACAGCTTAATTTAAACATGGGCCAACAACCTTCACATACCTCTCAACAAATGTGATCAGAGACAAAGGCTAAGCACAGGAAAAGATGCCCTACATCAGCTATCATGGGGAATGCAAGTGAAAACGGGGAGATAACCAGGACGTGTCTACTACGACAACCAGAATATATGATACTGATTGCACCAGTGCTGGAGAGACTGTGGAGCAGAAAGGCTGCAGGAAGAAGGCAAAACAGCCACTCTGAAAGACAATCAGGCAGCTCCTTACAAAACCAAACATACATTTACCAAACAATCTAGCAAGTATGCTCCTTGGTGCTTGCTTAAAGGAAGAGAAAACACCTCCATGCAGATGTCAATAGCAGCTTTATTCACAATTGCCCAAATCCAAAGCTACCAATCAAGGGCCCTTCAGGAAGTGGGGTATCCAGACAAGGGAATATATTCAGCATAAAAAAGAAATGTGGAAACTGACCCATTTACTACTAACTGAAAAGGCTCACATGTGTGATTCTAGCCCACAGCACCCTAGGAAGTCACTGCCACAGAGATGGCCACTTCTGCCTACTGTCACTGACCCACAAGACAGTCACCCAAAGTCAACTTTCCCCTCACAGATGAGGACGCTTGTGCTCCTTTCCTTCTTTGGTTTCACATAAATATCTGAAAATTATTATTTACTATCATTAGCCTGAAGTGTCACTTGAGATTGCACTGTTTAACCTCTGCAAACCCCCTACTTTCCTTCCATTCAGAAGCCAACCAGGGCTGAGAAGGCTGTGCATGTCCACAGACGACTCCTAGCCCACACTGTGCATGGTGGTGCAAACCTATAATCCCAGCACTTGGAAGGCTGAGGCAGGAAGAATGCTGCGGAGTTCAAGGCCAGCCTGGGCTACATAGTGAGTTCAAGGCCAGCCTCCTGAACTACATGGCAAGATCCCATTTCAAAACAAACAAACAAATAAAAAATGCTACCTCCTAACCCAGGAGAGGCCTGGCACCCATCACCCCTCCTGTGATACCCTGTTTCCCCCAAAATAAACCCTAATTAGAAATCAAGAATACTATCTCCAAGAAGCCTCCCTTGCCTTACCTGGCATTACAGAGGAGCCACTGAGCAAGAGAATAATGGGGTAAAAATCTTCAGTACGACCCTGGCCGTCACCATGGTAATGAAAAGGTATTAATTACAGCCAAAGTCCATTACCTGGTTAGGTCTTATTTTCAGGGAACGTAGGCTGCACATTCAAGTCTGCAGTCGGATCTGTGCCTCCTCCCACCCTACCACGAGGTGCACCTTCAACCCAAGAAAGATATTCAAACAGGTACAGATGAAATTTATATTGAGATTTTGTCTTGCCCTGCATATTTGATCTGCTGTCTACAGGAAATAATAATGATACCAATAAAACCATAAGTAAGATGTACTGGGATGGGACTGTGAACAGGTGGAAAGACGGGCACTCCTTACAATGGCTTCTTCAGCTCCCTGCCTCAGAGCTGACTTCCCCACAGCCAGGCCTTCCTCATAGCTGTACTGAAGGACAGAGGATGGCCATCATCAGTGCAAGTACTGGGCGGTGCCCTAGGACCACAGGAGGCCATCCCTATTCCCCATGAGGTGCTAGCCCTCAGCACTCGGAGTAGACTGTGACACCTGGGGCTTGGGGCCTCACTCCGTGGCTGATGAGCTGTGTGACTCAGGGCAAGTGACTAAACCTCTCCATGCCTCAGCCGTCTTCTCCGGAAAATGACAATTACAACACATACTTCACAGTGCCAGCAAGATGACTGGATAAAATGATGTGCTTCAAGCACTGACAATCATCACATACTGCTGCCACTGGCACTAGGGTGGTCTGATACTGAGGGACCACTGCCCGACACCAGGCAGGGCAGAAACTGATGGGAGCACAGAGCAGGCTCATGAGGAAATCATAATTCTCCATGGGTGCAGACAGTACGTGGCATCAAGCAGGCTTTCCATGCATGCTAAGAACTGAACCAAGATAAATTCAGTGCAGATGCCATATGATAGGGGCCCTAATCACAACACAAGCAATAGCAAGCTGCTAGAGATCAAGGTCCCATTAGATTCTGTCTTGGGAAAAACGTGCCATGCTTTTTACTCCTGTGGGAAAACAAAGAATCAGGGGGACTGGGAGTGTAGCTCAGTGGAAAAGCACTTGCCTAGCATGCATGAGGCCCTAGGTTCAATCCTTACCTCTACCAAGAAAAAAAAAAAAAAAAAAAACATGGTGAAAAACAGAATCAGAAAAATCTAGATAAATTTTATATGGATTAGATGTTTAAAAACACTGTTTTACATTCATTGTATTATAAATGGTGTTAAAATTAATGCCTTTTTTTACTTCATTAATCTGACTTCTAGAACAGGAATATGGTTCACATTATAATTCTAGTGAGTAATTCCAGTCTGGAGCTTATAGAAAAAATTAGGAGACATTAAGAAAACAAAACAATTAAACAAATAAACAAACAAAAACTATTTCGCTTCATAAAAATAATGCCATAATTCTACTTCAAGAAATCTAGTCATTGGCCGGTATGGGGTGCATGCTTGTAATCCCAGAATTCAGGAGTCTAAGGTAAGAGAATTGCTGCAAGTTCAAGACCACTGGAATACAAAGTGAGCTCAAGCCCAGCCTGAACTGCATAGAGAGACCTTGTCTCAAAAAGAAAAAAAAAAAAAAAAAAAGACTCAACTGCCAGCCCTACATGGATGAATGAGACCCAGGCTCCCTCGCCCACCTCTGTGCAGCCACCCACCTTGTGTTCGTGCACAGCACACAGACATGCAGAAACATGGCACCAAAATCACTGCACATGATTATCACGAAGACAGGCGTTCCAATGAAAAATCACAGGAAGAGCTGGGCGTGGTGGCACATGCCTATAATCCCAGCACTCTGGAGGCTGAGGCAGGAGGATCATTGCAAGTCTGAGACCAGCCTGGCCTACCAAGTGAACTCAAGTACAGCCTGAACTGCAGAGTCTCAAAAAGATGAAAAAAACAAAAAAAAATCGCAGGAAGAAAAATTAATCTTCAGAAATAACTTGAAAGAAGTCAAAGCACACTTGCCACATTTTGTAATAACACAACCAAAAACTAGAAAAATTGTTTGATATCCATAACTCCACAGTGTGCTATTTTATAGTTATTATATAACCATTATGAAAGTGATTCTTATAATTATGAAATGATATAAAAATATGAAGGTCACAGAAAAATGTTGATATACTGAAGAAAACATGGTAGATTCTGAGGCAAGATATCTAAATGTGAAGGTAGGCATGTGAGAGTGGGATGTCAGGTCACATTAGCACAGTCACAAGTGTTGGGCGCATTGTGCAAGAGAAGCCCTCTCACGCTGGCTTCCTGGTGGGGATTCCTAACACGAACATGATTTCTTTGCCCACTATAGGTCTATTCAGACTTGGGGATGACAATGCACAATATATGTATCATTGTTGCCCCCGATTGACATGTTTTAAAGGTTTGCTGTAGGTTTTTTTTCCTTTTATCCTGGAAATAAAACAGATTTGGGAAAAAGAAAGAGAAAGAGGCAAAATTGCAATAAACACTACTAAAATCCAAAAGATAGAAATAAAAACTGTACTCTCAACCATAGGTCTATTAAACCTATTTTTTCTTGAAACAATTTTGGTAATTAACATCTAGGAAAATTCCTTTTCCTACAACTTGTCCAAACTGTGTTAGTAAACAAAGGTATTCTAGCCACAGCTCAAAATGGGACACTAAAATCTATTATTGGAATCGTCTATTTTTCCCTTTGATTTTGCCAATTCTTCTTGTATGTTGGGCTCTCGTGGGGTACATACTCATTTAAAGTGCCACATTTCCTGCTGCGCTGCCTGGTCATTGTGGAATGTCTGTCTCCAGCAATATTTCCAGTCTCTAGCTCACCTGACACAGGGACAACCACTCCAGCTCCGATCTAATCGCATTTGTTGGTTTATCTTTGTTCATCTTTTTACTTTCAATCCACCTGAGTCTCCTAATCTCAACTGAGTCTTTAGCATGGCTCTGGAAATTCCCACTTAAACAAGCTACTGGAAAACGCTCTTCCCAGGCCCTACTGTCAAGCAGCCAGGGCCAGCACATGGCCACTCTCATGTGGATACACCTATCCCACTGCATGGTGCCTTACCTTCCTCAAGTCTTTATCCTTCCCACTACTTCTCACTAAATTCTCAGCATGCCTAGAAAGGAAATGGGATCAAGATCAACACTGACTGTTTAAAAGGAAAACATGTTCGATCTTAGCCAAGGCTCTTATCAATATTTTGTTGCAACTAAGAATGGCTGTAGGCTGGTAATTCATGTTTTACTACAGCATTGAATGACAAAGCCTCCCTAACATTTTTATTATTTCAGCAGTAATTCAACATGGAAAATATCTTTATGGGGCCAGGGGTACAGCTCAGTGCACAGCACCTGCTTGGTAAGCACAAGGTCCTGACTTCAATTTGCAGTACAAAAAAGAAAAAAAATAAAAATATCTTTACTAGAAAAAAGAATTTCAACTCCCCATGATGAATATAATCATTATGCACTGTAAACATGACTAAAAAAATTAATTAATTAAAAGAAAGAAGAATGTATGTGTTTTCACAAACCTTTATGTATATGTCTATGTCCTTTAAGGATTTTAAAGTTTTTCTAATGTTAATCAATCATAAATTCTATTTTATATCTAATATATAATATTCATATTTTCAAAAGAAATACTTATGCTAAAGTATTTTCTATTTTTAATCATATTTATATGTTAGTTGGGACTTAAAAATGAAGATTTTCATGTTTCAATTGATTCTCAATTTTTACAATTTATATTCACAGCACTTCAGGGTTACCAGATATACAGAATACAGCAAAGCCGCCTGTTCATTCTAGCAGGTTTACGCTTACAATCCAGAATTTGGCTCTCTAGGTATAAGCCTAGCTTCATTCAAACTGGTAAACATTAGCAAAAGACATGCTGGGGATTTAGTTCAGTGGCATAAGCGCCTGCCTTGCAAGCGCGTGGTCATTAGTTTGATCCCTGGTACCGGAAAAAAAAAAAAAAAAAGACTTTAAAATATTTGCAACTTTAATGTGAGTTTTCCCAATGTGTAAAAAAGAACTACAAAAGTATAGGTGTCATAACAAATTAAACTCCAGAGCTAGGGCTGGGGATGTAGCTGCGTGGTAGAGCACCTGGCTTCTGCCCCCAGCAATCCAAAGCTGAAAATAAATTCTGGAGCTTACATGAAAATGAATTTATACACAACTGTAATAGGTAATCTTCAAAAGCAGGTGCTGCATCATTATTTTACTGAAAGGCAGACATGGAATCTAGCCCAGGTTGACAGCATCTGTGTGCGCTGTGTCTACAGCTACCTAAAGTTGTGAGTTTTTCTTTGCGGTTCACAAACTACAATGCTCAACAGTGTGGATTTGGGGGCACCTCACATTTGCTTGCACCTACAAGAGAGATTCAACCCACGGCAGTGGCTGTAGCTTTATGAAGAGGCAGAGACAGCCAAATGAACTAGTTTCTTCAAAGTGCATACTGGTTCTCTAAATTCACATGAGCAAAGGTTGAAAATAATAATTTATAGCAAGTATTATGGCTTATATCCAGATGTCCCCCCAAAAACCGTATGTGCTCATAGGTGTGGCTTTTTGGGAATGACTAGATCATGAGTGTATGATACTAGACCATGGGTGTGTGATACTGGATTACTCCACTGATTGGTTTAGCATAGTTTTGGGGGTGGGTTAAGGAATAACTGAAGAGGAACCAACCAATAGGTTTGCAGCCTGGGTGGAATACACAGGGAAAGAAGGAAGACACTGTTGCTTCCTTCCTACCTGCCTGGGACTATCTCTCCTCTGCAGTGCCCCTTTGCTGTGCTGTCCTGCTTTGGAGCCAGGCAACCATGGACTGCAGTCTCTACAAACCGTGAGACAAAATAAACCTCTCCTTTAACTTCTGAGTACCAGATATTTTGTCCCAGCAACAAAAAAGTAACTATGACAGGATGTTTCCAGTCTCTTTTAGTATGCCTAAAGGATAATCTGGAGGGGTTAAATCCAGAAAAAAATCAATAACTATAATTTATTTCCATTTACTGACTATAATGAGGCCCAATAAGAACAGCTCCTTTTTAGAGCATTCTATGAGAACTGTGGGAGAGTAATAGTTAACTGAATGTGTATTCCTTACTGGCTGCCAGTCCCATCTCTTCTCAAATGTGCACCTCGATTTCTGTGTTCACCGCTCTATAATAAAGAAAAAAATTCCATCACCACTAAGTTGTATGTTATATGAATTAAGTATAATTAGTAAACTCTATGAAACAGACCTAGACTCAAATTTTAACAATACAACCTACCCCATAGTACATTTTAATAACTATTTTATTTACTAGTTATTTATAATAAATCAGTAACTAAAATATAAGGAAATATGATTATAAATTAGCTCAGCATATAAATTATTTTGATAGCATTCATTTCACATAAAGCAACACATTATTTTACTGATAAAATCTAACAAGTTCCTCATATTTCTTAAAATTATGAATTTTCCAACACAGAATATAGTTACTTCACAGAACCGTGTACCAACAGAAAAAATATAAACAGTCTTCTCTCAAATTAGTGAACTGTCTAAGCTAAAACTATGAGGTTACAGATGAGTACACACAGGGCTGTGGGTATAGCTTAGAGGAACAGCACCTGCGTGACAAGCACAAAGTCCCGAGTTTGATTCCTGTACAAAAAAAAATGAGCACACACAGGCAGAGACTCAGAGCAGAGTGTACACGGGTTCACACACGAAGAGCATCAGTCACTCTGACCCACAGGAACACACTTTGGCTGTTCTGTGTGGAGACAGATAGCTTAATTGTGCTCCTCAGGGCACAGAGGGCTAGGAATTGACCCAGGATCTTCACACTGAGCTACACTCCTACCTCTCTGTGAACTACTTACCAGTCCAATTATTTAAATACAGGATGACCAAAAATTGCATGTTTTTCAATAATTTTATAAGATAACAGGAAATACAAGAACAACAATTCTGTCACATGGATTCAATACAAGAATCGACTGGTTGAACTGACCCGACCTGCCAGAATGACACCTGGGAGAATCAGTACACAAACAAACGTGTTACCCAAGTGATGCTCAGGGTACAATGTCAAGTGCTTAAAATTTTTGACTTACTGTTTGTTTTGAAACAGGGTCTCACTATATGGTTCAGAATGGGCTTTAACTCACTTTTGGCCTGGGCCTTGAATTCGCAGTGAACCTCCTGCCTCAGCCTTCAGACAGCTGGGGATACGGCTCAAGGACAGAGCATTCCCTAGTGTGGGCAGCCTCTGGGTTCAATCCCTGGTGGGTCCCCCCCAAAAAAACGTGATTAACATCTCTAACCTTCTGACCCAACAGGAGGGCTGTGAACTGCAGGTGAGAGAGCACGGGTCAACAGGGCTGTGAGAGCAGGGTCTGGTGCCCTGGGACTTTGATCCATGACCTTGACAGCACAGAGGGCAGCAGCCTTTCCCCACCATTGGCTGTTCTCATGGGAACGATAAACTCACAGCACCTTCAGGGGCCCTGAACCCTAATCCTGGCTTAGGCCAAGACCTGTCCCGGCCTCAGGTACCTCCCAGCCTCCTGGAAAGACTCTGATTGCACTTTAAGGAAGTGCTATCAAGAAACAGAATAAAAAAAAAAAAAGAAACAGAATAAAACCACACACTAGCTTCAGCATAAATAAAAACCGAGCAGCGAGGAGTACATACATGAGAACAAAAGATACCAAACTGAGTCCAAGAAAATACTAATCATAGGTCAAAGTCATATACACTAGATTCTTTGCAATCCAATAGTTTCACATTTTTGTTTTGTTTTTTCCACATTGATACTATTATACTATCAATCCTTGCTAAAAGTCATTATTTTATAAGTTATTTGCTTAATTTCTAATTTAAAAATATCAGCTTCAATTCCATGTCGTCATGCTGCAAAATCTTGTAATGCTTCTATTCTTTGTTCAGAGTGGTTTTACTCTGTTTTGTATTGTTTAATTTCAACATACATGAAGGTATAGACAGCTGTTTTGAAGAGAACAAGAGATATTATGGCAGCCATTGTTGCTTTTCCTATTGTCTGGTTTTGAAGGCCTATAATGACTTCATCACTCTGTTCTGATCAGTTTAATACTATTTTGTTTTGTATGAATTTATTGTGTGTGAAGATATGCACAACTATTTAGAAGAAAACGAGACATTATGGCAGCCACTATAGACCTCCTATTGTCTTTCTTTGAAATCTGTGTCACTTAACATTGTTTTCTTCTGATTTGCTTTGTTCTGCTTTTTTATGTTTTGTTTTACCCTCTTTAAAATAAAATAAAATAAATAAAAATAAAAATATCAGTTTCCACATAGCATGTTGGTACACACATATAATCCTATTGCTCAGGAGGCTGAGGCAGGCCCCATGAGTTTGGGGCCAGCGTGGGGGCTACACAATGAGTTTAAGGCTTGTCTGGACAATGAAACAAGATCTGTTTTTTTGTTTGTTTAAAAAAGCTTCTTTTTAAAAGTTAAATTTCAAAATTTTGTAATAGATTTCCAAATCTCTGCAAGCTAGGTATAGAGCTGTAGCCTATAATCTATGAGGCTAAGGCAAGATGATCACAAGTTTGAACCCAGCCTAGAAATCTGGCAATTTAGTAAGACCCTATTTTAAAACAAAAAATAAGGGGCTGGGGATTTAGCTCAGCGGCATAAGTGCCTGCCTTGCAAGCAGGCAGTCATGAGTTTGATCCCTGATACCACAATAAAAAAGGAAAAAGACAAAAAAAATAAATAAAAAAAAATAAAAAGAGCCAAGGGAATAGTTCGGTTTGAAGGGATTTAACCCCAGTACACCAAAAAACAAGCAAACCAAACCAAAGGTGCATGCACAATGTAACCAAAAGATTTAAGGCCACATTCATCAGAAGAGCACTGCCAGAACATGGCGGACAGATAGCAGCAGCTATGGAGGCTCTCTGAAAGAACCAGCTTGGAATTCAGCAATGGTGCGGAGTAAGGAGTCATGAGCAGGTGGAGATACGCCCTGCTGACCCAAGAACGAACTGGGCTGAGAGAAACCAACTTGGAGTGCACTCCTGGTGCTATAACAGGAACACAAAAGCCTCAGTGTGGAAGCTGGAGCCCGCGGCATTGGAAGCCGCGATTTGGGTTTCCCACCGCATGGAGGCTGCGTCTACATCGGCTCGGCAGGGAGAGAGGACACGCGGAAGCTCTGAGAATGGGAATCGGCGAACGGAGTTGAAAACAGGACGGGCGGGGAGCTGTGCATTGACTTGCGGTGAGGTGAGTGAGAGAAACTGACACTCTTCCCACGGTTTGGGAGACTCCAACAAAGGACATTCTGGGACTGGGCAGACTTGCGGGAGCAGGGCGCTGCGGCGACTTCAGCCATGTATCCCCCTCTCAAGCGGGATTGGTGAGAAGTGCCTACCCTACGTGACGCTGCTGGCTGAGACCGTGGGCTACCACAACCCAGATCCCAGAGCGTGAGGGTGACCTGGAGGGGCGGGCCCCACATAGGCTGCCTGATCTGCAATTCTTGGTGTGTTGCGGTGGGCGGGAACACCTAGCTGGCGCAATTCAATCAGACTGTGGCTGACAGGAAAGGAAGCTGGGCCTCCTATATACGCTTGCATATATAAGGAACAAAGAATATGGGAAGAGGCAGCAACAAGAAAGGGTCCTCGGCCCCCAATCCTGAGAAACAGGCAATAGCGGACACCGCACCAATAGACATAAAGCGTCATCTAGAGAGCCTCATAGATCAGTTCAGGAATGAAGTTATTAATGACCTGAAGCTAGAAATAAGCAGAATAGTTAGAGAAATGCTAAGCACCACCCAAGAAAAAACAGATGGTGGAATGGAAGATCAGAAAAAGAGGGGAGAATTGTTTGATGGAGAAAATAGAGAAAGCATAGAATACGTGAAGCAGGTTCAAAGAGACTACCAGGAAACTAAAAACTCTATCGAAAACTGGCATAACAGCTTGAAAGAAACTAAGGACAGACTATCTGAACTGGAGGGCAGATTTGTAATATGGGAGAATGAAATGAAAAACTTCTTAAAAGTAACAAAGAAACAAACAGCAATAATACAAAGACTAGAAGATGATAAGAGGATCCATAACTTAAGAATTAAGAACATAAAAGAAGAAGTAGGGACACAAACAAATGAACTACAAAAGCTACTCACAGAAATAATCCAGGAGAATTTTCCTAATTTAGCAAAAGGTAAAGATACTCAGTTGTATGAAGCATACAGGACCCCAGCCACCTACAACGCAAACAGAGCAACACCCAGGCATATAATAATTAAAATTCCAGAAATTCAATACAAGAACAGAATATTAAAAGCCGTCAGAGACAAGAAACAGATCACTTACAAGGGAACACCCATCAGAATTACAGCAGATTTCTCTGTACAAACCATCAAATCACGAAGTGTGGGGGGAAATAATTCAAGCTTTGAAAGATAATAACCTCCAGCCAAGATTGATATATCCTGCACAACTATCCCTGGAAATTGATGGAAAAACAAGGTGCTTCCAGGATAAAGAGGAACTAGGGGAATATGCAACCACCAATTCAACTCTACAGAGAATACTACAGGATATTCTAAAAAAGAAAAATACAAAGAATCCAGAAATAGTGGCAGAGAGGCCACAATGAATGGAACAGAAAACAAAATGAAGAAGACAAACTGACAATAAATGACAGAAAAAGAGCTCAACAGAAATGAGGCAGAGAAGATTGGATGATAGGAACATCTTATTTTGGAGAAAATGACATCTTAATAGGTAATACTGATTTAGTATCATCTTGTTTTGAAGTCTCATCAAGCTTTTGTTCTTCTGTCTCCATTGGTCTAAACAGGTTGTATCTTACTGGATTTTATTATGTACGATAGTATAAGCAAAAACTTTTAAAGACAAGGAGATTATACAGAAACCACTGTTCGTTTTCTGTGGGTTGATTCTAAATACCCTGTAATGCTGTCATTCTCTTAAACGGTTTCACATTGTTTTGATATATTTGATGCTACAATATACGAAGTTATACTCAAAGATTTCAAGGAAAGAGACAATATGGTAACTACTTTTATGTCAGGATTATCTTGTGGTAAAACACTATTCTGCTTAAATGGTTATGTTTTGATCTGTGCTGTTTTGCTGTTATGCCCTCTTTTATCTCAATCTCCACTTCATTATTTACTTTTTTATTTTTATTTTTTAATTAAGGGAAAAATAAATAAAAAATAGCAGGATATATTATGGTAACCCACTTCGACTTTCCATTATCTTGATTTAAAGCCCTGTATTACTCTCACCATCTTGCTTTTGACTGATGTCCCCCTATTCTGTTTTGCTTGATAGTACCAGGTTCGAAAGTTTAAGCAACAGCTGTGAAGATAGTGAGATTCATTATAACGCCCATTCTCGTTAACTATTATCTACTTTTGAAGACCTATAATGTCTCCAATGTTTTAGTTTTGTCGGTTTTGTTCTTTACTGTTTTGTTCAATTTTATTATAACTGATGATATAGGCAATTCTATTAGAGATAGCGGGAGGCATTATGGTAACCATTGTTGATCACCTTGTATTATGCTTTTACATTATCTATTATGTCCACCCTTTTGATTTGATTGACTCTGTTCTGTTATGTCACATTTGGTTCTACTCCCTTCCAAAAAAGTAATAAGAACTGTGGGAGCAACAAAACCCAAAATGGGTAATTGTCATTGTACAAAAGAGAGGAAAAGAAAGTGCTCTAAACGATATAACTGCATGTATATATAAGTGTATAAGATAGATAATGATTATCACTGAGTTTTGTTGGATCATTGAACAGAACTGTTTGCAGTCTCACTGTTGGAATGTCCACTTTACAAGCTTTAATTTTGTGACTTGAACAATTATTTCTAAGATGACAATATGTAATCCATTAACTAGTGATTTCCTACTGTTTATTTTTTTCTGTAAATCTGTATAACTTTACCCTTTCTCTGCTTTTTTTTTTCTCCTTAAATAAAATTAAAAAAAAGAAGAGCACTGCCTCCTCTGCTGACTACAGACACAGCGGGACCTGGGCATCTCTCATCTCAGTTACTGCTGTTGGGCCGCGCACGTTACCATCACTGGGCTCCACCTGCATTGTGCCCTTTCTGTGAGCCAACCCTGCAGAGCAACCATGCAACAGCAACTAAGCACCCACACCGTACCTCGGGCTCCCTCTTCCTGTGCTCCTCCTTCAACGATCTCTCTTTCCGCTCCAAGGTGCTTCGGTGCCTCTCCTCATCGACATGAAAGCCTTGTTTATGTCGCTTCTCTTTGCGTTTTTCTTCCCCTTCTTTGTCAGAGAACGAGCTGCTCTTCTCTTTGGAGTACTTTTCTCTCTTTTCCTTGATACTGCTTTTATCTTGATGTTTCTTCCGCTGTCGTCTCTCCCCTTCTTCTTTATAGAGCCAGTATTTGAGGGGGTTGTCTTTGCTGTCTCCATACTGCAGCTGTGGGGACGACAGGAAGACACATGAAAGCTCACACTGGCACTGGCTTCCACACACGTGATGACGAGGATGCGGGCAGGATTTCAGAATGGCTGCTGCCACTCTTCCTCCCTCCACTCTCCTGCTGTTAAATTCCTTCCTCAAAACCTACCTGCTGACTTAATGAAGCCCGACAGCCCTCAGTGTGTGGACCGCAGTGTGATGGTTTGGATGCTGACTGTGCCCTGGGGTGCAGGACTGAGACTTGACCTGCAGGGTGGCACTGTGAGAAGAGGTGTGTCTTGGGGAGGTAGGGTCTTGGGTGATGTTCTCACACCACTAGAGCAGCCTGGGAAGGGGTCAGAGACCCAGATCTCCTCCCCCAGGCATATGCTATAAGCCTGCTGCTCCACCAAGACGGGGAGCCCTACCACCAACCTGAATGAGATGGACTAATGGTCACACACCAGACCGTACAAAACTGGGAGCCACAGGAAACCTTTGTTCTTCTTCCCAGTACTGGTCCTGGAACTCAGGAGTGCCCTACCACTGGCTACATCCCCAGCCCATTTTATTTTCTGAGACACTGCTCCCTAGGTTGTCCAGGCTAGACTCAAAATTGTGATCCTCCTGCCCCATCTTCCTAAATAGCTAGAACTGTACTACACTTGACTCTTTTCTCTTTATTAGTCAATTCTCTGAGGTATTTTTTTTTACAGGAACAAGAAGTTGACTCCTGCACTTAGCCAAGCAATCCAGACCCCTTTTTAACTCTACAGCATTTTCACTCTGCACTGTACCTGATCTCCTCAGCCAACCATCACTTCCCAGGAGGGCGGTCCCTTCCTTGAGCACCAAACCTGAGGCTATCCCACGTCCTACAACAACGTGCACCATTTTTTCTCAACTAGTTCCACACAAATGGGCAGTTTCAAAAGGGGGTGCCATCATTTAGCCACCCCAGTACCCTCAGGAGACACTGTGGACACTTGAGGATGGGTGGCATCCACCAGCAGTTGGTAATGGATAATGGGTGTTGAGATTTGAACTCAGACCCATTTCTGGGAGCACCGACAACCCGTCCCAAGCTTTCCCATGGACTCACAGGACTTGGTCCACACTACTTCCTCATCTTTACATGCAGAGGTCCCCGTACCATCTGTGGGCCTGTGTCTCCTTCCCTCCACACTCCCCATCTCAGTCCAAGTGCTCATCTCCACTAGCAGAGCCTTCCAACAGAAAACAGATGGCTCTGACCACACTCCTTCAGTTTATCAGTTAGAAAGTCTTTATCAAAAACTCTGAAGACCCAGGCACGCAGCACTTCTGTGCCTCCGGGAGGGAAAGAGGTCTCATCAGGATTGTGGACAAAAATTAAGAAGCAACTTATGAATTCAAAAGCATCAGATGTGTCAAGAGAAATGAGATAGCTATATCACTGAATGTTAATTTATGTGTCCATTAAACACCATAAAAATATATGGCAATTGACAAAAATGTTCAAGATGTAGTAAGTCTAAACAACACACAAAACAATAAAATTCCAATTTAAGAAAAAAAATACATGAACATGCCTGTAATACCAGCACTTGAGAGGCTAAAGCAGGAGAATTACTGTGACTTCAAGGCCAGCCTGAGTTCCAAAGTAGGTTCAAGTCCAGCCTGAGCTAATTCTAAGATCCCGTCTCAAAAAATTAAACACACACACACACACACACACACACACATTTACGTATGATCAATAATGGTCTCTGGGAGGAAAAAGGCAGATATATTTTTGTGCTATTAATCTGTATCTAAAAATTTTCCACAAACATCCAGGCTGCCACAGCCACCGGAATCCGAGAAGAATGCCTGCCCCTGGAATCTGCCCTGACCAGGCTCTCCTGCCACACCCTCCTCAGCCTCCCATCTGCGAACCTTTCTCTCCCGGTATCTTCTTTCTCTATCTTCATCTCCTCTTTCAGGGTCTTCAGCTCTCCTTTCTTTCTCTTCAGTTCTTACTTTACTTCCTATAAAAATATAACATAGTATTAATATTCCCAAAATTTAGTATATCCAAAAGCCCTTCTACCAACTTGCTGAAGACTCTAATCACATGATGTTATTAATAGGTTTCTAAAAATATTCTTCACCTGAAGCATGTTTGTCAAACTCAGGAGTGAGGAGTTCTAGAATCTCAACTCAAGATGGAACAAAGTGGGAGATCAAAATGCCAAACTAAGGAACAGAAAAAACTCTTCTCCCTCCCAGTTTGCTGAGGCACCTAGCAAATGTCTGGGTGCCCCTGAAATTCTATGGGTGCCAATAGGAAACCATAAAAAAAAATCCCCAGCCTAACCCTGGGCACCCACTACCAAAGCACACAGAGGCAGGCAGCTGGACACAGCCCACCGAGTGTGAGGCTGAGGCGTATACAGTGATGTGCAGGGTTACCCAGAAGAGGCACCCTGTCACTGAGGTACTTGGAAGTATCCAACAAGGAACCATAGGGTGGGGGTTTCATTTCTGAATCTGCAGACAAAAATTCATCACACTTATAATGAAGGAAATTTGACATTTCACCATGCTGTACACGTGTGTTGAGATAGCACACCAAATCCTGTTCATATTATAATCAAAAATCAAAAATGGTTAAAGTGTATTATTTTTTAAAAAGAAAACAAACACTTTAAAAGATGGGAGCAAAATCAAACTTCAAGGAATCATGAAAACAAGTTCATTCTTTCAAAAATACTCACCAAGCACTGACTGCTCTCCTAGGAGCTGAGACAGAGGGAAGGGGCTGGGTTCTGGGTCTATCCTGAACACGAAACCTATGGACACTTCATGATGAGAAGGCAAGGAGTGGATGGTAGCTGGCTCTAGCCTCAGGAATGGAAGGATGCTGCTGCCATCATCTCTGATAGGTGAGGCCCTCAGGGGTCAGTTTGGGGCCATTAGGTTTGCAATGTCCATTAGACCTCAAAACACAAGTGGACACATAGCTGGGGTACAAGAAGGAGACCAGCTGGGGATCAAAACTTGGAAATCAGGAACAGTTAAGTGTAGCTTAAAACCACGAGCCTGGCAGGGCATGGTGGTGTCCACCTGTAATCTCAGCACTTTAATAGGCTGAGGCAGGAGGACTGAAACGAGTTCCAGGCCAGCCTGGGCTACATAGTGAGTTCAAGGCCAGCCTGGGCTACCAAGCAAGACCATCACACACACACACACACACACACACACACACACACACAAATCACCTTTCCTTTGAACACACTTGTCACATTATTCTTTTTCTTTTTTCTTTTCTTTTCAGTACTGGGGATTAAACCCATAGCCTCATGAAGCTAAGCAAGCGCTCTACCACTGAGCTACATCCCCAGCCCTTATTCTGATATTCTTGCTACCTTTTAAAGCAGTTCCAGAAGTCATTTTTCCCGGGGGTCTTTGGTTGTGCTGTCCTGGTTGTCTCAACGTGGCTTCAATGTCCAGAATCCATTCAAATCACTTCCCTTTTACGGCCACTTTAACTTTGGGGAGAGCCGGAAGTCACTCAATGCCAGATCTGGTGAATGCGGTGAATGAGGACACAACGTTGCGTTTTTACAGCCTGCCTCTCTGTGGTAATCAGCACCAACATTCACTGCCTGCTTTACCACACCTCATGAAGATGCTCAGGAAAGAGGACTTCCAGAGCTGCTTCAGACAATGGCAGGAATGACAGGATGAGTATGTTCAAAGCTAGTGGAGGCCTATATGTTGAGGAAGCTTTATGGCAATGTGACCTTTACTGCAATAATTTTTTTAATGTAAACTCTATACCACCGTATATTTTGATCACCCCTTGTATGTTTCAATAGTAAAATGCTAACTAATGATAAACCTGTTTCTTCACTACATACGTATTACAAACATCAAAGTAGCCAGGGATTTAGCTCGGCAGTGTAAGCAACTGCCTGGCAAGCACGAGGTCGTGAGTTTGATCCCTGGTACCAAAATAAAATAAAAATATCAAAGTAACACACACACACACACACACACACACACAGAGAGAGAAAACCCAAAGCTTCAGCTATGGCACAAAATAAAATGGTGAATAGAACTTATCTAAAGAGGAAAATGTAAGGTCTACAGGAAATGCAGCTCAGGAAACACCATAACAGGCAGCAGGACCACACTGGGGAGGGTTCAGCTCCTGAGCCATGGGCACAGGGACGCACCTGAGCGCACCTTCTTCTCCGCCCTGTCCAGGAGGTCATGGTGGGCGGTGGTCTCCCGGCGCACCTCTCTCCTCAGCCTTCTGTCTTTTTCCTTTTCTCTTTCCTTGGCTTTGCCGTGAGACCTCTCTGTATCTTGTTCTCGATGTTTCTCTCTCGACCTCTCTTTCTCCCTGTCTCTTGCATCCTTTCTCCTTTCCCCACGTCTTTCACCATCCCTTTCCTCAGAGGTGCGGGCATCTCTGCTGGCGCCCCTGACCCTGTGCCTCTGAACATCTCGGCCTGGATCCCTGTGCTCTTTGTAGTCAGGGATGTCAATTTCCAGCTCCTTGTACAGCTCCCTTTCCCTGTGCTTCTTCTCTTCCTTGGCACCACCTGACTGCACAGCCTAAGATGACACAAGAAGAAGGGGTCTCTGTGATAGAAGGGTACATTTCTATTGATGACCCTTCTTTCTTTCAAGCTGACAATGTGACCCAAGGCCTGGCACGTGTTGAGCAAGCACTGTCCTACCCAGCCACACACGAGCCCTCACTGACTGTTAATAGCTGAATGTGAGACTCACATTGAAAATGGTTTGATTCAACTGCTTTCAAATCCAGCAAGATGCAAAGGGCCCCAAATGTATATTCTTAGAATCGTAAAGTAATTACAATCATTCTTAACATTTTTGAAACTGCTGAATAGAATCCCATGCTAAAGGCATTTGGATTTACTGGCCACTCGAACCCAAAATAGAACAAGATTAGAAAGCACAGGAGACAGTGAAGTTGTTCTAACGCGGCTGAGGCAAGAGCCAGCAGGTGTCATTAAAACCAGGGTCCTTCACACTTGAGAACTCTGGCTGCACCTCTGCTTTGCTCCGTCCCGCCTGCTGCCTGTAGGAGTAGGGAACCATGAGCAGCAGGCACAGTGACAAGAGTGCCCTCGTCCCATCCTCTACGGGCGTAGCACAGCTCCTTCTTGGATCCACACACACTCTAAACATGCCATGTGCAAGAGGAGGCAGGCAAGAAGTCTCCTCTAGACCCCAACTGAACTCTAAGATACACTACCCAGAGGTGTCTCCTGAGGTCTTCTGCTTTCCAAGTATCATCTTTGGTTCGCCTCTAAAAAAAAAAAAAAAAAAAAAAAAAAAAGCATAAAATCAGAATTTTTTAAAGTACAAAATAATAACTAATGTTGTTTGCTCTCATAAGTTGCTATTCATTACACTTAAACTGATGGTAATTGACTATTGATATGCAAGAAAATACTTTTTTTACTGACTAAAAGATGGTAAATACAGATTTAAAAAAATTAAACTGGATGTGGTTGTACATGCTTATAATCTCAGCATTCAGGGAGGCTGATGCAGGAAGATGGCAAATTTGGTACCAACCCAGGCAACTTATCAGTTTAGGGATCTTGTCTTAATTTTTGCAGTGTAGTCTTAATTTTTTTTTTTTTTTTTTTTTTTTTTTTGGTACCAGAGATTGAACTCATGACCTCGTGCTTGCCAGGCAGGCACCTGGACTGCTGAACTAAACCCCCAACCCTGTCTCAAAATTAAAAAAAAAAAAAAACCTTAAAAAGGGCTGGGGATGTAGTTCAATGCATAGGCCCTAGGTTCAATCCCCAGTACCAGGAGACGGGGGCAAAAAAGTAATTAACTAGCCTAAACTTATCCAAACTACTATAGAATGGACCCTTTGACTACTTCAAAACCAGTAAATGTCACAAATTAAAAAGAAAACATTATGTTAGCAGCTGAACAAGTCAGGAACAAATATTTTGTGGTTTTAGAATAATTGTGCCACCCTAAGACCATAATCCTAAATAAAATCAGACATACAAACTTAATATTCCATGGTTTCTCTTACATGAGAAATTCAAGATGTACATAAAAATCAAAATAAAAGATAGATAATAGAAGTAGGGAAGGGGACCAAGAGATTAAGGGAAGGGGAAAGGAGAGAAGAAGGAAATGCAAAAAGAATTAAGATGTATACATGTAGGAATGTAGCCATTCTACACTGCAAATATATACCAATAAAAATAACAATGAAAAATACACGTTGTGTCAGACTGTTTCCCTCAATGGCCACAAGGCATCTGTCCCTTCTGCTGTGCCCACTGGGTGGTGGTAGGGATCTGTGTTCCCGCTACAGTGCGGTCATCAGGACAGAGAAGCTACGCTACTGCTGGCCGGCTCAGATGGAGAAAGGAAGCCGAGGGGTGGAGGCCACGTGTAACATCTCTGCTGAGCCCCATTAGAGCAGCCGAGTCAGCTCCAAAGGCCAGAAACGAGCATGCAGGAGCCCACATGTGGATCCCACTTGTGAATCAGTACAACTTCCCCAAGCCCATGTCCTGCAGCTTTGATCCAGAGGTCAGCGAGCAGAACCACAATGTCCCTGCTGTCTTCTCTGCATGTCCAGACTCACAGATGAACAAGCAAATTACAGGGGCTGCTGACAACAAAGTTTTGGATGACTTTCCATGTAGAAACAGTGCCTAGGAAGAGCAGACAAACCCTCTGAGTCACATGGCCCTTGTTAATTTAAGAAGGTCATGGGTTCCATTTTCCACAAGGATACTGAGGCCTAGAGGAGCTAAACAGCTTCCTCTCCAGAGACCGACACATTGCTAAGCACAAGATAGCAACTGGAAAAACAGTTGTGGAATGAATGAACAAATGATGGTCAACGTGAAAAAAACCTGCAGGTCCCCACTGAATGGCTCAACAATCTTGTCTCGCACCCGGGAGCTTACAAACTCAACCATGTCCCCATCCCATGTGAACACTCACACTCCTTACCAAACACACATAGGCTCCTAGCACATACAAGCTCTGTGAGGACAGAAGCTCCATTGATGCCTGCAGACGCCTGCATTGCACCCTTCTAACATTTGCTAGGATCGCAGTGTCTGTACCTGGTCTGATAAGCTGTCTGTCAAGCTTTTTTCTCCAACTTCCCTCCAATATGATCAAGTCTGTACATCTCTCTAAGGCAGGAATACATGTCTCCTGCTGATCTCCTAGCATTATTCACTAAGCACAGATCACATCTCTTTCAGTCTCCAGCCTTCAGGATGGGTCTGTTCAGCATCTCACCAAGGCCAGCCATGAAAAATACAAGCTATGGGTCCCTGTGAAGGAGCACCTAGAGCCAATAACTCATCAGCCATCTGAGCTGTTCTAAGAGTGGAAGGAAAATGCTAAACATAGTGTGGTGTTCTGAAAACGGTCTGCTAATTCCCCAACAACACCTCTTTGCATATCTCCAATTCCCTTCCCATAAATGAGGCTCACCCCAAATGATGAGAGCGGGATGACAACTGCCTGCCTCTGGTGCTGGGGTTCATGTGCAATTCTTCACTCAGGGAGAAGCAGCTGCCATGCTATGAAGACACAGAAGCACTAGCCCCACAGCTGCAGTAAAAGGGAACCCATGGCCCAATTAAGCCTTTGGATGACACTGTGACTGCAAACCATGCTCTCAAGGCATCCCAAACCCTTCACCCCAGAACCCCAAAGGATAATCAGTGACACAGATTAAGGCTACCCCTTTTCCACCTTCACCTTCCTGTCAGTCAACTCACTGTCACCTCCAGGGGTGTTTGTCTCCCTAGCATGAGCACAGGCCCTTTGCCTGTGAATCCACAGCTTTTCATTCTGGGATATGACTGCAAACATTGTGCACCCAGGACACAGGTTCCTGCCCCATGTAAGCCTCAGCTTAATGATGATGGTAACCTCAGGGGAGCAAATCAATCAGTCGAGTTCAGCTTCCTGCTGAAATGAGACAACATTATCCTGATGTCAGTTTTCTTCTAAGAAATACTACTGCCATACAAGTACAAATGACAGACAGGCTTAAATGAGTGTATCCAAATAAAAAACAGAAGTAGTACAAATGAAAAATAAAAACTTATCATAGTTAAGTCACTAAAAAACTTCTTGAATATGGAAAATTAGAGAAAGCTGTCACAGTGAGCACCTGCTTTTACAGATGGGAGTCTGATGTATGCAGACGCTATGTTGAAGTGTGCAGATGTCTAAAACTATTCTGTGGTACATTAATTTTATATAGAAAAAGATTATCTAATGGGCCCTCCAGGAACATTTTTCTTGGAAAAGGAGTTTAGGGATCCAGGACTGGGTTTTCTCTATAGAACCAATCACAGATTGGGTCTACAGTGAATTCTACCAATGGACTAATGATGTGTCAACCTATAAACAAATCATCGCCAACTTAAGGTACAGAATAACTTGTGGGGATGTAAAAGGAATAATACAAAGTGACAGAAGTAGATTTAAGGAGAAATAGAGGATAATTTAAGGCAGCAACTTCCTAATCTTTGAAAAAAGTTATACTAAGTTTGATGTAACACAAATTAGGTGAATAAAAGAGTTTTTAAACAAAAATAAGAAAATAGGGCCAGGAATGGTGGCCAGCTACTCATGAGGCTGACGAAAGAAAAGCACAAGTTTGAAACCAATTTGGGCAACTTAATAAGTCCCTGTCTCAAAATTTTAACAATACATATTAAAAGGCTAGGGATGCAGCTCGGTAGAATACTTCTCCTAGATCCAATTCCCAGTTGCACACAAAAAGAAAAGAGGGAAAGAAGGAAGAAATGTGCACAAACTAAATTTCTCGTCTTTTAGTGGTTAATAACTAGACAAAAGTAACATTAGTTAACACCTGCTGAGTAATAAATCAGTAGGTACTGTCATAAGCACTTTTAAATTTCATCTCACTAAACTCCACTCCTCAACACTCTGGCATTGCTCGTGCTACCCTGTTCATTTCACCGATGAGGAGACTTTCCCACAGCCACACAAGAAAACACAGGAGCCAGAGTTCAAGCCCAAGCATCTAGTCTGTGTTCTCAGCCTCCAGGAGTCGTGGCACCTCACCATTTACATTTAAAGTGGAATTAAATTTACCATCCGTTCCAAAGTTGCAGCAGCCCCCTTCCTGGTGCTGAGCATGAGGCCACAGCCTGGAGCTACCAAACTGCACCAGGAGACACTGGGCCTCCACAGGGATCTCTGCACCAGACAGAGCCCAGCTTCACTGCATGCTCCAGGATGCATTCTGGCTGAACTCAGTGCTTGAAGAAACAAAGGTGTCAGCATACACTACAGTAACAGAGGCAACCACTGGAGAACTAAACAAAAGAGTCGGGGGCTGGGGATTTAGCTCAGCAGCATAAGCACCTGCCTTGCAAGCAGGGGGTCGTGAGCGGTTGTGAGTTCGATCCCCGTACTGATTAAAAAAAAAAAATTCGTATGAAGCCAAGAGTGACGGTGCACTGCTGCATTCCTAGCACAAAAGCAGGCTGAAGCAGGAGGATTGCAAGTTCGAGCACTGCTGGTGTAAATTAGGGAGGCCCTGCCTGAAAATGCATAGAGGGCAGGGGGAGCTGGTGCTGGTGATGTAGCTCAGCTCAGCTCAAGGGTAGAGAGCCCCTGGGTCTGATCTTCAGTATTGCAAAAACGAAAACAAAAGTAGTCAAGATTCATTCACCTTAAGCAGTGGAAAAGGAGGCTTTCAAACAGTGTACTGTTCAATATTGTTTGGACTTTGAGAGCCTGAAAGGCAGGCGTTCTGTGCTTTCCCCAAGAAATGCTCAGCCTTGCCTCAGTTTTCCTTCCTGCCTTTGGACAGGCAAAGAAGATAAGTGAGCCCAGAGCTGGTGCTGAGTGGAGAACTCACTGCACACCCTGGGCTTGCACCCCATCCCTCACACTCCCTTCTAAGACGTGCCTCTCAGCCCATCTTTGGACCCCAGCACTCAGACACAAGTTTAAAACCCTGTGCCTCGGACACGATCTCGGATCTGTTCCTAGAACCGGCCACTCACGAAGGTCCTCAGATCATTGATCCCGCCCCTCAAAGATGTCTCTATACCGTAAGCCTCACAACCAACCCTGCCGCTCACCACAGCCTCACACCAGGCCTTGGGCTCAGCACCGCAGACTCTCTCTTAGACTCTGTCCAGTCACATTTGCCCTAGACACGCCTCTAGACCTTACTTCTCAGACGCGCCCGCCCCCAGGCGCGCCCTAACCTCTGCCCGCCACTCACAATCCGCCCCCAGCTACGCCCCTCGCGCCTCGCCCCTGGAACACATCCCACTCCCTCGCCCCGGGATTTCCAGCCCCAACCCTTGGGGAAAAGCTGCTCCAAGGAAAGGACTTGGCTTGCTCATCACGCCCACAAGCGCCGGCCCGCAGCCCAGGCCAGGCTCCCTCGAATCCTGCACGGGAGTCTGAGAAGCTCAGCCATCCGAAGCCAGGCGCAGGCGGCATCACGCGGCCAAGGACGCACTGCACTCCCCTTCCCACGACTCCGCCACGCACCGACCTTCCCAGGCTCCATCTGTCCTCACGGGCCTTGGGGGGGGGGGCCACAGTGCCCTCGTTTCCGGTCAAGTGCAGACCCTGGAAAGAGCCAAGCCTGTCTGCACTGACTCCCCCGGCTGGCCCCGGCCCGCTGCAGGGTTGTTGCCAACTCGCGGCGTCAACAACTCCTAGCAACCGGCAGGCAAGGGCAGCAGAAGGCCGAGAGAGCTCTGCCCTCAGTGCGTCTGCGCTTTGCCAGGACTCCTAGCAACTGGCAGGCAAGAGCAGCAGAGGGCCGAACGGCCCCAGTCCGGCCTGCCTCCCGACTTGCGTCCGCTCCCAGTGCGCCGGCGCATCCCCGATTCTTTGCCCAAACTTGTCTCCCACTACGGGGACAGTCCCGTTTGCCTGCGGAACCGCTACCCCTCGCACCGGCAGGCAGGAGCAGCAGAACACCGAGTGGTCGCTGGTCTTCGCCTGTCGTTCGGCATCTTTGGGGAACTGTATTGCTGCCTCGGTATTTCCCAGATGCGGTGCTCAGGAATGAGGGAGAAAGAAGCGCTTTGCGATTAGTTGAGGCGTTCGCTCAGGAATTCTGTCGTCACTGCTGCTTTGTGTAAGATAGATGGGAATCAAAGTAGTTGTTAAGAGACTTTATACGAGGCATGAAAGAAAGGAAACAAATATCCTGTGGCTGGGCCTTATTCTGTTTAGAGCTTAAAAACATAAAGCCAAGGGCTGGGGATTTAGCTCAGCGGCATAAGCACCTGCCTTGCAAGCAGGCGGTCGTGAGTTCGATTCCTGGTACCGATAAAAATGAAAAAGACACACACACACACACACAAAAAAAAAAAAAAAAAAAAAAAAAAAAAAAAAAAAAAAAAAAAACCATAAAGCCAGTCTTCAGCAAGGCAGGAGCTGTAGTGGTCCTCAGTCTCCTGCCACATTCTCACAGTGGAGCCTCTGTGCCTGTGCCAGGAGTGCTCCCAGCCCTGGCCAATGTCTTCTTGCAGAAGAGAAATTTATTTTGTTCACGCTGTTTTTTTTGTTGTTGTTGTTGTTTGTTTGGTTTTGTCTTTTTTTTATCAGTACCGGGGATCGAACTCACGACTGCCTGCTTTACAAGGCAGGCGCTTATGCCGCTGAGCTAAATCCTCAGCCCCCTGTGCACGCTGTTTTAAGGCGCGTGTTTACAATGTGGGCAGGCACAAGGCTACAAACCCGGCTCCTTGTCTTAGCATTAACAGCGCCAATTAACCTTTCACATTTGCTTGTGCTCTGTTCTTGTCTTCACTGCTGACTGGAATTGAGTCAGGAAAGGTAATTTCTGTGACAACTGTAATTTAGTGATTGCCCCTAGCAAGGCACCAAACTAAATGGTAGTCATTTGGTAATGCACTTCCATAGCGTCTTATGTTCATGTCAGGTGAGACCTCAGCCACAAAGGATGATTCACTTGCATGAGTTGCTCTGTGAGGCTCACTTTGATAACAAAGTGCCATCTCTTAACTGCAGCAGATTATCCCACCTTGCAATCCACCACCAGTATACTTCAGCTTGTTACTTGCACAGGTAATAGTGCTGATTACAGTTCCTGTTACTTTTGTTTCTTAGAAACAGCATGGGCTGGGGATTTGGCTCAGCCGCATAAGCGCCTGCCTTGCAAGTGTAGAGTCATGAGTGCAATCTCCAGTATCGGGGAAAAAAAAAAAAAGAAACAGCAGGTCACTGTAATGCATGATGCACACTGTATAAACCAATCCCCAATTGACAAGCCATTCTGCCACTGTACTTCCTGCTTGTTTATCCCATGTAAGCCCTAGAGATCAGGGCCTGATATTTTGGGAATGATCCCAATTAGTGTTCTCAAAATAAATCAGCCTCCAAATCCCGAGTGTTTTGTGATGGAGACCACCACAAAGCAGCTATGAGCAGGATTTAAAATTAACCAATTGGCTTTCTCATGTTTCCTTGTAAGTCTGTCCCAGGCCTAAACCCCGTTTGGAGATGGGCAGTGGATTCATAGTAAGTGAACCTCTTTGAATCACTGATCCTGGATGAGGTCTATGGTGGCCTGTGATGCCAGTGACACCTCAAAGGGCAAGATAAGGCCACAGTTGAGGACACTGGGTCCAACCCCAATTAATTAGAGACTGTAGCTATAGGTGTTTCACTCCTACTGTCTCAGTCCTGCCATAAATATCAATCTGGAGACAAGAAAGGTCTCAATTAGCATAATTTACTATGTGGATAAGTCTTTGAACGGATCCCCAAGGTCTTGCTCAGTATCCCCTCTCTTTATTTGAAAACCAAATGGGGGCTGGGAATTTAGCTCAGCGGCATAAGCGCCTGCCTTGCAAGCAGGCAGTCGTGAGTTCGATCCCTGGTACCAATAAAAATGAAAAAGACCAAAAAAAAAAAAAAAAAAAGAAAGAAAAGAAAACCAAATAAATATGGTTCTTCCAGAGAAGTTGTCTAAGCCCCCAGAAGGGTTTTGGTCCTCCTGGAGCCCTAAAATCACACCATTTGTCTTATTTATTTAAGCCTTCACCATCCACTCGTTTAGGAGATTATGGGCCTGATCAGTCCACAGTAGTTTTGGTGTTTCTGTTTGCTGTAGCATAACTGCTAGGTACCAAACAGCTGATATGGCAGGCTTTATATCTTATTCACTGTGACAATGAATGACAAAGCCACCAGACACCTGCAGTCACAAACTCTTGTCAGACTTATCTCTTGAGTATGAACATGTCCATTTTTCTCCAAATCCTTACTAGCCCATCTTCCATTGCAGACAAAACTAAAACAAATTGCTCATCACTCCCTACCTCCTGGACACCTGATTTTATCACCAAACAGAATTAACTCAGAGCTCACCAAATATAGCACAGCCACAGAGCTTTGCAGAAGCTATTTCTGCTTTCTCACCAGGTCCCATTATATTTGCAGAATAAATGGAGTTTGGGCTATAGAATAACCTAAAACATTTATTCTCTGAATAGCTCCTTTGCTAAGGGACTGATCAGCTTCCTGTTCACTGTTAACACCCAGTAGATACTAATAGGAAGAAAGATAGCATATTCATTTCATCAAAGCTTCACATGATGCAAAAGCTGTGTAAAGATGAAAGACCCACTGTGAACCATCAATTTTTATCCTTAGGTTTAAAGAGGCATGGACAGCCATGTAGAAATGTGACAGAGGGTGTCCTAATAGTTATCACATGAAGGGAGAAAGCAGCAAGGCCTGTCTGTCCTGAGTCAATTTGGCCTCTTTGTGCATCTCTTTCTCTCTGGTAAGGGACAGGACCCTTTCTGGAATTTGGGGGTCATGTGATCTTTGTCAGACAAAGTAGGTAAGAGAATTGTTTTAAAGGGTAGCTGGGAGAAAGATGGAAAGATGAACATTTCTATGTTTTATGCTCGCTTTGTGGAAAAATGTAGTTTTTATGGCTTGTCTTGGGGAAGAGAAATTCTAGTTTCTATAGCCTAGGGGAGAAGGTGGCAGGAGACAGGCTTGGAGGGAGAGATACAGATTGTGTGCCTCAGGCTCTAAAATATAATATGTTTTGGGGTTTGGGGGAAGGGATCTCAAAGCAGGAAGGATTGACCTCCGAAACTAGCACTTGTCTCTGTAAGCAGAAAGGCTACACTTAACAGCTGAGTACAGGAATTCTCACCAATGACTCTGTCCTCCAAGAATTGCAGGGCCTTTCCTTAGGGAACTGTTAATGCTGAAGAGTAGTGGGAACATGAACACCCTATAGGAGACTGAGGATTACAAAGAGCAAACTGCAAAACTCTAGTAACTGAACAGGGGTCCAAAGCTCAGTGGGGGCCCCAAAGAAGGCTGATTAATGTTATGTGGGGACATTTTGCTTCTCTACTATCTTACATCCCTAGGTTGCTGGAGAGCAAACAGCGTAGGATTTTTTGTGAGGTATGTTCCTACAAGGCTTCACAAGATCCAAATAATACATCTATAGAGCAGACTTCAAGACTCTTCCCCCTTCCTGTGTTAACAAGGAAATGTCTTACTTTGATGTTATTAAAACTGCCTTGAATGAAAACATTAAAAGCATTAAGCTGATATACAAGGAATAGGTTTAAAGCACCATTTTACATATTTACAGTTTACACGCTATTACAACTTGGTGCTCAGCGCACTCGCAACGCTACGACCACGTAAAGGTTTCCTCACAAGACAAGGACTGGGCGATGCCCACCCCACGCGCGGACCGACAGGCGCGCCCGGAAAGGCGAATGTATTTACTCATTCCCACTGCCAAGCCTAGCAAACGGACGGAAACGTCCCTCGGAATCACTGAACAGATTCAGAAACACCCAAGTGGCACGCTCTCCCTAGTGCTTAGCTTTAAGGAAACGCGAACCAACACAACCACCCGCTGGTTCCCGGGAAGGAGTCGGAGTAGGGGGCCAGCAGCCCCGCCTGAGCGAACAAGGGTCTCTGGCAGCCACGGCAGCCCAAAGGAGCACTTGGAACGCATTCAGGCTCTCCCGCGGCCTGCCACTGCGCGCCGGTTCTGCCCGTTCAACCTAGCCGAAGAACAAGCCGCCAGCGCACGCTAGTCGACCTCTTCTTCCCGCCGAACTTTGCTCCGCTCCGGGGCGATGACGTCACGCTGTGCCCACCGCCCCCCTCCAGGAGCGCAGGGCCTTAGCTCAGAGGCGCCAGGGCGTGGTGGCCTTGGGGTGATGACGTCACGCAGCCCACCCTTGGGCGGGCCAGACTGAACCCACGGGGTGCCGCCGGGCGTGCGTGATGATGTCACGCGCTACGCACTCCGGGCAGTGTTGCAGATTACCTCCCCTCCACCTCAGAGTAGCTCTGGGACTAGGCGGGGCGGACTCGGCGTGCTGACGCCACTCAGCGCCCACCCCAGACGCCGCTGGCGAACCCTACTGGCGGCGCTGGGCGGAGCTGGGCCGCGCTGGGCGGGGCTGGCGGGTGGGGTCGGCGGGCGTGGCTCCTGGGCGGGCGGTTAGTTCCGAGCGGTGCTGGCGCGCGGGGCTCCCCGGATTGAGCGCCGCGCCCGCCTCGGCAGGCTATGAGCGGCGCCGGGGACGAGGCCCCGCGGGCCAGCGCGGCCCAAACCAGGGAGCGCGCGGCGCCCGAGGGCGCTGGCGGCGTGCTGAGCGTGGACGTCCCGGGGCTCCTGGCGCAGCTGGCACGCAGCTTTGCACTGCTGCTCCCTGTGTACGCTCTCGGCTACCTAGGGTTGAGTTTCAGCTGGGTGCTCCTAGCGCTCGGGCTTCTCGCCTGGTGCCGTCGCAGCCGCGGCCTCAAGGCCAGCCGCCTGTGCCGTGCCCTGGCGTTGCTGGAGGATGAGGAGCGCGCAGTGCGCCTGGGGGTGCACGCCTGCGACCTGCCGGCGTGGGTGAGTACGCGGGAAACCGCTTCCCTATCCTGAGCTGGGTGCTCAGCGTTGGGACCACTTCCCAAGCCCCGGGCCCGTTCGCTGGCCTGGTCAGGTCCGTACCCGGCCTCCCAGCCCTGCAAGGAGCTCCCTTCGCGCCTAGCGTCCTCGCCGTGCCGTGGTCAGTCTCGAGCACACCGCCCTGTCGTGTGTTCTGGCTGCCGCCCCCGCGGCAGCCTACCAGCCCTGTGGGCCTCCGAGCTTCTGCCCGCCTGCGCGTCCTGGATCTCCACCCAGGCCCGGTGTCCCCATCCCCCTCCCGCTCCTATGAGGTGTCCGGGCCACTGCTTCCACCCTGCCGGTCGCGAGGTAGGGAGGGCGGTGTCCGGAAGGACCTTGGCGGGCAGGGGTCAGCGGGGTTCCTGCTGCTTGGAGCCGCCGGAGACTCTGAGGCCCTTCGGCAACGGCCGGAGTTTCCTTCTTGCCCATCTAAAAGATGGGACTCCGGCCCTGTGAGGATTTACCTTTTCTTAGTCTTCACACAAATGAAGACCAGTGGATGTCCCCTGAAAGATTTGCTGATGATCAAAACAATAATTAAATCGTGCTTTACTTTGTCACTGCCCCGTTGTGAGAGTGAGCTTTTCTATGTAAGATCAAATGGCGGGAAGTTTTAGAAGAGTTTCGCTAGTCCCTAGAGTTACAATATGGATTTTTACCTTGAGCAATTGTCAACATGTTTATACAGGATAGAAAGGAATGAAGTTAGCTTCATTGTTTTGTCCTAATTTTTTCTTAGCGATGAATTGGTGTCATAATTTCAGACTATGAAAATAGTGCTTTTTCAAAAAGATAAATGATGCTCACGTTAGAATAGACCTGATGTAAACTTCTGTGAGACAGTGGCTGCCGTGACTTTCAGAGAGTCATTTTCTGCAGTGGAGAGTAGATGCTCCCTATTTCCAACTAGGCAACGTGTGGAAGGCATGGGATGTAAGATACAAATGGCCAACTAACAAAAATTAGAAAGCAGGAACACCCAAAACCAAAAGAAACATAATAGCACCTTGTGATGACAAATAACCATTGGGATAAGAATATAAGGGTTTTCAGGAACTTTAAAAAGTCTGCTGACACATGATAGATGCGTGGGACAAGAGTATATTGGAGAATCAGAGTGTTAGTAAAGCTTTTAGCTAGCAGCAGTAGAAAACAGGAAGTTAGGGTAACCAAGGTGAGGAAAAACAACAGAGGTGTGCTTTTAGTTTTTGTGTTTTCAGACAAGATCTCTGTAGTTCAGGCTGGCCCAGAGCTCACTATGTAGCCTACGCTGGCCTCACATTTCCTGTGATCCTCCTTCTTTTGACTCTTGTATGCAGGGATTACAGTTCTTTGCCACCACTCCTTGCCAGGGTATACTTTGAAAAGCAAAAGGACTTTAACTGGACATCTTGTGTTTATAGTAAATCAGATGGTTTTACAAAGTAGCTAAAAACATCATGTAAAATTACTAAAACAATGTAGGGCTGAAATTTGTGGGAAGAGAGTGGTGATGACTTTCACAAATGGTTATTGAGCAATAGGGTGATAATCAAATTAATATGCTTGTAAGCAAGTCTGTGAAACAGGCTATTTTCGCATAGTAAATTAAATGTCACTATTTTGAAAAACTAAGCATTTTTAGTGGAATTAAAAAGTGATTAGACAGTGTCTTTTCATGGATTTTTGTATCTGCTGGACTTAAACTTATGAACCATAATATTACCCTTACAAAAGAATTTATATTTTCACCAGAAATTTTCACTTTGTTATTCTGAATTTTTATTTGTGCTTATAACTCAAACGCCCATACTTAAATATATATTGCTTGAAAGCTTCCTGAAGGGTTTATGACAGCTATTGTATCCAGGAAAGATTTGGGTGTAGTTTTTGTTAGTTTTCATTCTCATGAGTTATTGTCATAATAAAATCAATAAACTGCATGGTCTAGCATTGTGGCTTAAGTTCTGCCCCTGGAGTTGGCAGGGACAAGATCAACAATACAAATCTTTGATTAAGAGAAGTTATGATAGGGGCTGGTGATTTAGCTCAGCATCGTGAGCGCCTGCTTTGCAAGCACGTGGTCGTGAGTTCGATCCCCGGTACCGATTTTTTAAAAAAAGAGAAGATAAAGTATTACTGGTACTTGGATTTTTCTGTAATTTTTGAGATTAAAAAATTGGAGCTGCTATTGTGCTTTGAACAAGATTGGGAGTTTTCAAGGCACGTTTCAAGGTTTAGAGGCTGAGCAAGATTGGGTGTTTTCAAGGCATGTTTCAAGGTTTAGAGGCTGAGCAGGATGGAAGTGTGTGAAGCCATTAATGAAGATTGTATTTTGGATGTACTCACTGGCAACTTTTCCCCACTTTGTTTAATAAAAATTTAGGTATGATATAATTACAGAAAAATTTAGGAATGACATAAATAAAAATACTAATACTTTGAGAAGAAATATTTATGGTTCCTAGATTCAGACTATTAGAATATGAATAAATGACTCCCATTTAACGTGTGATAACTCTTGAAGGGTGTGGCCATAGGGTTTTAATGTAAACAGTGCTGAATTCATCCTTCCACTCTTTTTTTCTGTAAGCAAGGAGAAGCCCTGGCAGGCTTGATGGATTCGTGATGAAGCATTTTGTTGTACAAATATCTGCCTTGTTTTAGTGGGGACGTGAAAAGTTAGACTCTGAATGATTTTTTTGAAGAGTTTCTGCAGAAGTGGATGAACCCACTGCTTTTTGTATTTATTTAAAAAATTAGAACTCAGCAGGATAAGCTGTGACTTTTTCCTGCTTTTACTATTGTCCACATTCCTGATGTTGTGGCTACAAATATATGGAAACCTACACCTGACATTTTTATTAGTCAGCTTGTTTAACAGTTAGGCTGGGGATTTAGCTTTCGGTGTAAGCACCTGCCCGGGAAGCATGAGGTTCTGAGTTTGATCCTCACCTCCAAAAATAAATAAATAAATAAATTAGTTGGTCTTTTATTACTCAAATGTTTGGACTATTGAGAGTTAAAACAGAAGTTAGTTTTCTTGGACACTTGCACACAACCTTTCTTTGGGAAACTGTCTTGTTCAAGTATAGTCAAAATATAAGACATTTAGTCTAAGAACAAAATTTTTTTAAATATGCTATGGCCTCATATAAAAAGAAGGCAAATATTTGCTTTTTCTTTCAGTGTTAATCATTGACTTAATACTTCTATAAAATTTTGTGAAGCTTTATAAAAGAAAATAGTCATCTGAGAATTCAGAATTACTTCAGCTGAGTACTTCCTTAGCCTTTACATCCCAGAGTGATTCTGTGGTTTGAGAAGCTGTGATTGGGTTGTAAATGTTGCTGGGTTCCTTGTTTATATCCCTGTGGCTGATAAAAAGGGGAAAGGACTTTGACAGTCACATTGCATTGTGTTATGTGGTTTGAATGTTTCAGTAAGTTAGCATGTGATACTCCAAGTGTGCTAAAAATAGAGCAGTAAATACCTGGGATTTTGTTGTTTAAAATAAAGAGAAAAAATGATTTAGGCTATAAATACATTTATATTAAGGCATATGTTTGTACTTTAAAACATATTTATAAATCTCAGTCCTCTGAAGAACTAGCTACAGAAAACTGATGTAATTTAGTATTGTCATTAGCTCTAGTGACTCTCTGATCTTTGCTATGAGTTCATGACTTCTACATTGGTCAGCATTTAACCACTGCATTGCATAAATGAGTGAGTTGAATAGTATTATGTAAATTATATCTTAATAGAGTTGTTAAATAGACATTGAATTTCTTTCAAAAGTAAAAGTGAAAAGGTGTTGTCAGTTTTTTAAACTTTTAACTCTGATTCAAGGTATTGGTGTTTAAGTCTTAGATTTAAGGTTTGCCTATAGGTTGGTTTATTTTATACCAAGCAGTCTAACAGTATGCTCCGTCATTTTAAAATTTACTGTGCTCTTTTGCATGTGCGAAGTGAGCAATATGCCTTTGCATATGGTATTCTAGGTTAACTTAAAATTTGGAAGTATTTGCATTTTTAAAAATACTTAATAAAAAAGGTGAGTTTATGAATGAGTGCAAAAAACTAAGTAGGTAAGTATTTTTTTAACCTAACATTTTTACACTGATGTAGTGTTGGCTGAAACAGGTTTTTATATACATATTTATGCAATATTTATTTACATTTATATGTGTATATAAACCTGCTGCTGCTGACTGGACACAGGGATATGTTAAGCATGTACTATATCACTGAACTACACCCCTCGCATCCGTATATACCTCTAATTGCATAACTACTGAAATCCATACTTCAAAGATACAAACTTGAATCAGTGTTGTCAGTGTTTTAAACTTTTAACTCTGATTCAAGGTATTGGTGTTTAAGTCTTAGATTTAAGGTTTGCCTATAGATTGGCTTATTTTATACCAGGCACTCTTAACAGTATGCTCTGTCATTTTAAAATTTACTGTGGTCTTTTGCATTTTGTTATGGCTTGTCAGATCATTGTCTTTTTCAGTTTCCATGACAATTCAGTCTCTGAGAAATTTTGTTAAAGTCTGAGGACAGTTCTGACAAAGTTTTAAGCGATCATCCTGTCTTCATATTTATACTCTCATCAGGAAAATGAGACGCACTCCTGAGGCCGGCTATGGTGATGACCCCAGTGTCATGTGCTTTGAAGAAGGGATCAGGAGGACTTAGGTGAGGGATGCATCAATACACACATAACAGAATCCAGTGGACAGCAGCATAATCATGGCATGTTGTGTGAGACAGGAGCCCCAGAGCTCAGGAGGGCACCCGTGTGTGGGGATAATGGGAGGTAGTTTTCTGGAACTCTGTGGAAGGTCTGTTGGGGATGTAATCTATCACATGGTAAAAGGTGGAACTGAGCAGGGTCCAGCAATGATAAGCAGAAGTGCTCCCAGGGATGCCATTCAGGACACCCCTCTCCTGAGCAGCAGAAGTGTTTCCATTGG